TGCTCTTCTCCAGTTGTATGGAACAAACCACCATCCAGTCCGCATAAAGGCTGCAGGAAACAAATTATTTTAAGCAATTATGTAATACATTAGGGAGAAGGGTATACCAGGGATGGAAATTGTATGGAGTATAAACACTGGTATAGATTAATTGAACCAAATGGCCTGTTTCCGTGCCATATCACTCTAACTATGTTACAATGAATAGGCAGGAAACTGGCCTCTCTATATGCCTGAACTTGAAGTGTTATATTTTCAAAGTATTGGCAGATGGCAATATGTTTGAGGAGTTCAGATCACATCAAATGCTTGACCTTTGCAACTAAATGCCTGGGCTGCTTTTGTGTGCTTGTGACTCATCCTCACAGTTTCTTCTCTGCAGAACATTTTATTGTGGTGGTCTATGCCAAAATGTCTGTTCGCTGCAGCTGCAAATCATTGTGATTAAAATATTTTCAGGTTCTTCCCAATTGGATATTCAGCACTCCCTGAAATGCCTGTAACAAGTAACTTGAGTGTTTGGTCAAAACAGCTGAGATTCCCTGGAACCATGAATCGAAGTTAGGGGTGGAAGAGGAAGTAGGCTATGTTTAACCATTGTATTTAATGCGAGTGAAAATTGCTTTCCTTCTCTTTTGATGATAACCTTTGCCTAAGATTTGATTTTGAGAGGGATTATTGTTAGTGATGAGGTGAGCACAAAACCGAGGATCATTCAACACCAGCTGGGTTAATTCATTTCACTCATGTACAGTAATCCTAAACCTGTCCCCTCTCTGGTGAGAGCATCAGCATTCCCTCGTACATACAAACTAAACTCAAATCATCAACAAAAGTGGACAGTGGAATAAAATAATGTTGATCATAATTCTTAAATTTTTATTTTTAAATTTGGTCCAGACAGCAGTTTCTTTTGGCAATGATCCCCCCCCATTATGAACTCTTGTGGCATCATGAAAGTCCGTGTGAGACAGTAAAGTCAGTAATTCCTGTTGCTCATTGGCCAATGTTGCCATGGCATTTAGAGCTTCTGGTATGTACTGTGTTTCGGGGTTCAATTTGACTGAATCAATTATGTGTGGAACATCCTCGGGAATGTTTTTCAATTCATAAGTCCGTTTATCATATTTGATGTGCAAACAAGTATTTGTGGCTGATGCTGAAGCTTCCAACAAGAACAGGTCAATGAAGTGTGGATGTATTGGGTTTTCAGGTGGTTCATGAACTAAAAGTGGAATTTTGGGAAGTGCCAGTGCATTTGATTGAAAGAAAATTCAGTATACAAATCACTTCCATTTCCGTGGAATTCTGTTACTCATCTGTCCATTAACACTTTTCAAATGCGTTCTGCAGGAGACTGTTAAATTAATCAGGTGAAACACTTAATTTTTAATAATTTTTAACTTTTCACTAGTTCTTCGATAATATAATAATCCTTGTGGTTAATCTAGTGCCTATAAAATTGCACCGTCACCAAGTCCTTCACAGGTAATTGCTGTCGAGTGTACGGAGTGTATTTGAAGGCATGTGTGGGAGCTTACATTCTTGTTAAACACTGAAATGTACTTTCGCACGACCATTAATTCCATCTAGTTATGGAGTGTGCTAAATATATGTGAGCCTTTAATTAGAGATGTTTGGGTAAAATAACATGATGGTCTCGCCTAGATTACAGGTTGGATACGCAATTGATTTTGTAGTTTTCACTGGCATTCGCATACTGAATCTTTAATAAAAAGAAATTAATTCACACTTTCAGTTTACAGCAGATTAATTATATTGCTTCGTTACAAATTTATTGTAACTACAAATTGCGCTGTCATGGCAACAATGTGGTGTAAATACACTTAGTGTAAAGAGTTTACAGCTCATTAACCTTACTAACAGGTTAGTTTCTTTCTGTGGCATTAATTTAGTTGTAACCTCGGGGGATGGGATAGATGTGATAGTTTTTAGTTGAACCCAAGGTATGTCACTGCTTCTGCTCATGAGATGGTCGTTATATAATTGGTTGCCAAATCCGTGTGAGCCACTGATCTGTGTGACTCTGAATTGTTGGAGGGCTGTGTGACACCAGAAGACTGCTGGTGCCTGAATGTACAATAGTGCCGACTGGTGCTGATTTTTCTTACTCCGGCCCGTGGCATTTTGAGTTTATTTGCTGCTCAGTTTCTTAGATGCATCGATCCCCTGCCAGTATCTCCAGAGGTATTCTGGTGACCCGTAGACCTTTTGAAGGCAGTGATGGATTTACTGACATTTGATATTCCTCTCACAGTAACCTAATAAGTTCAAATGTTGGCTGTAGAAATCCACGCTCTGTCTTACTCAAATAAATAATTCACAAATTGGTACTCAAATTAAATCTTTATATGCTTAAATATGTAACTCTTAAGCATATATAGAATTTTTCTTAGTAACATAGCATTTCCAGAAGTCATTTGAAATGGATAACCTCACTGTAATGAATACAGCAGATAGATTTACTGTGATTCTCTCAGTAGAATTGTAGATCTACCCTGTGACCTTCATCCTTTGTCCTTCAAGCTATACGGCGTTCACATTGAGATGTTGAAAGATGTTAAAGAAACACTTGTCCAGATCAGGCATTCATAAGTACGCAGTTAAGAATAGACATGCATACCATTGTATTGGATCCATCAATACAACTGGAGCAAAACCAATCAGAAAATACATGATAGATGAAGGAAGCATTGCATTTATACATGACAAGCAACCGCTTAGGAAACTTAATCTGTCCCTACTCTGGGAAGAAAAACTAAAAAGCTGTGAGGATATTTAGAATGAATCACCATAAAGACTCTGAAGAGCTTAATTGGAACAAAGCTATTTTCTTTCTCTTCCTCCACCCCCTTCCCTGTAAGAAATGAAGCAACGTTCATGGTTCTCAAAATAGGAGAAAGTTTCCATCATGTTGCCTGGCAGAACTGGACTGAACCAGAAGTAGGCACAAAAGGAAGAGAATTATTCAAATGTGAAATGCTCCGAGTACTCCCGAGAGGGAGTGAAATGGCACTAGCTCACATTAATCATGAAAAGGCCTTTAGAAAAGATCATGGCAGCACATTAATCAAGCTATATGCAGCACAGAGAGCAAGCAAGACGATTCTCTAAACTGGGATTTTTAAAGCGGATGAAAACGCATTAATTGATAGAGGGTTTTTTATGAGTCAGGCTGGGGTAATGACGCACAACCCAGTTTTCTTTCTCTCACAGCAACGTGACAAGAAGGGTAACGTAACAGACTGAACTCCAGAGTGCATCCTAACAGTTAAGATGAATAAACTAACATACATATTATGCAGTGCTACCAGCTGAGCCAAACCAGGCTGAGCCAATATGATGTAGGGGAAGAAAGTCTCTGAATCTCTTTTTTGTGTAGGCTGATTATGTGGACACCGTGTAAGGATTAAATTGCTCAGTAACTAATATTAAGTATGAGAGCTTTCTCTTATTTAAAGTTTTCAGCTTAATTACAGCTTAATAATTGTCAAAGGCAATCTAAAATCATTCAATTGCATGTTAAATAGCATTCAGTAATTAGGAACAGATTGCACTGAGGTTGTATCTCCCAGCGGCGGTGCAATTAAAGAACTGGAGTTTCGTTTTCCACACTAAGAGTAAGCCGATCAGAGCACTCGCCAACAAAATAAATGTTCTTGATTGAATACAGACTCACCTAGGCTGGTGCGAATGTTCAACAGGCCACTTCCAGCCCGCAGGCCATGGGTTGGCCACCATTGGTGTAGGCAAAAATTATTTGCATCAGTGAGTCATAAAGATGACTGGTACATAATTGTGTGTCAGGCTTGTTCAGAGGGTTGTGGGTTCAGGCCCCGAATCAGAATTTGGAGCTCATGTAGTCTTAAACTGACACTCCAATGCAGTGCTAGGAGTGCACTGCATTGATGGAGGTACTGTCTTTCGAATGAGATGTTAAACTGACTACCTGTTAAAGATCCCATGGCAGTATTCAAAAAGAGAAGGGTGTTCTGTTTCTCCCGGTGTTCTGTCCAAAATCCCCCAAATAAAATCAGTCATTCACGCCTTGGCTGGTTGTACGCAAATTGGCTGTCATGTTTAAGGGCTCCCAGATGCTACCTGTGTGAAGGATGCTTTATAAACACAAGCTGTACAGAACATACACTTGGTCCACTTTACAATATATCCTGTGAAGCGCTTTGAGGCGCTATCAAATGCGAAGATTATTATTATTCTAGTCAGAATCCGGAAAGGGATTGTTGTGCGTTGGTTTTGATAATGGTGGCATCACTCAGGAACGTTGTTTGTACGATTATTTTCTTTGTTTCCATTTCAAGCATGAAAATGGTGGATGAATTTATTATTCCAGCAGTCTGAATGTGGACAAGTGGTTATATAGCAGCACATGGTAGTAGATTGATGGTGGTGTTTACTCGAATGGACAGAGTTTATTGTGTACAATAAAATGTCTTGCTATGAGATCCCTTTAATACGATTGTTTAATGTGAACACAATCTACATCATCGCTATGTGTGGTTCAGCCCTGGATTCTTAATATTGTATGATTTGATGATGTATGGTTTTGCAAATTTGCTCAATGTTGAGTAACAAACTGTACTCATTGCTTTAATGAAATAATGTCGGTTGAGGTAACAGTTTAAAGAAAATATCTGTTTTAAGCTTATAAATCGATTAGTTTCCAAATAACTTGTGAATTTGTATTTTTTAAAAATTGACTAATCTGTCGGTTTGGACCATGTCTAAGCTATGAACACACAAAAAAAGTGGCCTTGCAATCCCTTTTTGCGTCCATCTTACTGCTTAAATGTACTTAATGTTAAATAGAATGCAATCCTTTTTTTAAGCTTTCTGTCTAGAGTTTAACAGTCTGACTAGTTTCAGGGGGATCTGGAAGTCCAGGGGCTCACTTGTGCATGGAAACCGCTATAAATCTTGCTTTATTTGAAGCTTAGCTGTTTATTTGTGTATTTTTACAGCTGTGAGAAGGTAGAAAGAACATGGCAGAGCAAGAGCCAACCGCAGAGCAGCTGGCTGCTATTGCAGCTGAGAATCAGGCGGAGGATCAGAGTTCAGTGAACTACAAGCCACCACCGCAGGTATCCATTCAGAAACTCCAGGATCTGGACAAGGAAGATGAGAGTCTTCAAAAGTACAAACAGACGCTGCTGGGAGAGATCCCTGCTTCGGTTGGTATGTACAGTAATTCCAGTTTCTTTTATCTAAGAATTCTTAAAGATATTTACAGTATTTTTCCTTGCTGTAGTTCAGCAGGTAAATGCTCTGTGTAGTGTGCTAAAGAGGTGTGAAGCCCTTGGGTTCATTCTATGGTTTCTGCTGATGTATGATGTTAGTTAGGGCTGAGCACTACAATTGGTCTTTGTATCACTCAGCTATCCAGCGACCCTTGCTTTGAAATGGAGATACTGTATTGAGCGAAGACTTGAATCAGACTTGACTGCGATGCCCTCTACTCACTTTCCCCTTTCATTTGCAACGAGGATTATTTATTTTGAAATGCTCTGATTCTGATCTGCAGAACACAGATCAAAAGGGGTTCTGAAATAAATTAATGCAAAATGATTCTGAAATCTATTGTATCCTTATTCTTTACTTATTCTACAAAGACTTTTGTACTGATGTAAGGTGCTGAAGGATTTCTTTCAAGAATACATTACAACAATCTCTGGATAAATTGTGGGGAAAAGCAACCTCTTATGTTAACTAGTCCTGGCTATTGCACAGCATTAGAATGTAACCACTCATGCCTGTTTCTAGCAAATTTATAGGAATTTATTTTGTAACCGATTATTATAGCTGTAAATTTGTGGTAACCACGCTGCTTTTTTTTTGCTAACATATTAATGTGCCTTCACTCTTTGGCTTGCACCCAGCCGTCATTTTGTGCATAAGCCATTCAGAGAAAGGTTATGACAATCTGTAAACGCTGGATTTTCTTTCCAAAACATTAGAAAGCTCTTTTACTTCCCAGAATTGAACTGCATATCCAGCACAAATACTTTATCCTTAATACTTAATCCTTTTTTTTATCATAATGTATCTCTACTGCCATTTATAACATTCTTTCACCATAAGAGTGTTTCTGCTTTTTAGTAAGTCCTGTTAAGTGCTTTGAAGTGTCCACCTGACATGAAAGTTGCTTTTTCAAATATAAAGGTTATTTCAATTCATAGCTTGTGGGATCGTTCTCTTCAGTTGAAATTGGCTCTTGGATGGGAGGCTGCTCTGAGTTCAGTCTATTTCCAATTCACATTTGCTTTGCCATTAAACTAGTTTTCACGATAAGTTGCACGGAGGGTATTGGATGCATACCATTGTTGCTAACTATGGGATCCTTCATGCGTTGGCCAAATTTATGTTGTTTTGACACTGTTCATGTTCATCTCTGTGTGGCCTCGTAAGATGAGCAAACGTACTTTCTTTCAGTGATGTAAATTGTGCTCCCAACGATTTGTGCCATTTATCAAACATTCTGGTGCAGCAGTGTGACTGTGTTTTGAGGATCAGAAGATTTGGCAGTCTGGTTTTGTGTCTTGCTGGAGGTAACTCGTTTTGTCTGGAATTGCTGTGTGTTGGCACATGGTTTGCTCAGCACAATGATACTTCAAATCTGGCATCAGTTAATGTGTTCCCTTATTTGGGAAAAAAATAGCCCGAATAATCTGTTGGCTTTAAAATTAATAGCTCTCAGTATGTTTAGACAGTGGTTCAGACTTGGTATGTGTCCCATCTCAAACTCCACACAAACGCATTCTATTATACACCCATGCATCTCTTACTTAAAGCAATGAGGTGTTGATGTGATGTGGTTGATGCTCCTAACTCCGAGTTTTCAACCACTTGTACTTCTGGTTTCAGTTGGTTTAGTGGTTGAAGCTGGTTTGAATCCTGATCTGTACTGCGGATGCTGGTATCAGCTGGATCACATAGACCTCCCGGGTTCGGGATGGGAAAAATACAGCCAGGTCCCCTTATGCTCCTGGTCCCTCTGCCGTGCTATAGTGTTTATGGCAGTTGGGTGAAGAGAGGTCAGATTTGGCTGTGACTCTTCTGTATAATTGAGCGACCTGCTGCTACTGCCTTGGCTCACATGGAAAATGGCTGCTTGGTTGGAGTACCATTGCCCATTAAACTACATTCCAACATGAGGAGGCTGGGAACCAGGTGGTGCAGGGGTGTATTGCCAAATTAGCAAATTAGAAGATAATTAGGCACATTAAATACTTTTTTTAAAAAAGCTTGTGCAGAGTGTCTTGGATGAAAACTCTCATTGGATTTGTATTCCAAATATTACATGCTTATAAATACCATTGAGACAGACTGTTGATAAGGAAAATAAAGGAGCCTAATGGACTTAATATTTTATATAAAATATAAAAACTTTTTGTTTTTTAAAAAAAACTTGCCCTTCACCCCGTTTTATTCTAACCTCCAGCTCCAGTGCAAACCCTTAACTGTCCAGCACCATGGGATGTCCTCCTGACGGGAAAGGTGCTGTGTAAATGCAATTTGTTGTTGCTAACACTCGTCCCTTGTAAATTCACACAGTAGAGTAGTTTAAAACACTGAGTGCCAAGCAGTAAGTGTGTCTTTTGTTTGACCTGCCAGACTGGTTGGTAGGATTCATTTGAGATTGTTGTCACTTGTGGATTTAGTTTCACCTTTGCTCATGCAGTCTTAAACCTGAATCTTAGTTTGATTTGTATGAACCATTCCTGACTGTGCAGCAATTGTACAGAAATTTAATCCAGATGTTTTTGATGAGCTCAAGTTGTGTAACTTCAATGGAGTCTAGGGGTTTGGCTCATTGTTAATGCATTACCACAAGTTTCCTTCAAGTGTTTTCTAGGGTGTTTTATGTTTCCCCAAAAAATTAAATTCTGTTTGACCCAAATAGATTTTTTTTATTCTATGGGGATTGATAATAAATTCAGTACTTGATCAATAACCTGATTACAAATCTATCTTGAGCTGCTTTTGTCTTTTTAACTATTCATGTGATAACAACAAATTCCATTTATATAATAATAATAATAATAATCCTTGCATTTGATATAGCGCTTTTCACGTCGTCTAGGCGTCCCAAGGCGCTTCACAGAATAGACTGTAAAGTGAATTGAATGTATATTTGTGGGCGAACACGGCAGCCAATTGCGCACAGCAATGTCCCACAAACAGTCGTGGATTGAAAATGACCAATTTATTATTGTTTTTGGTTTTGGAGGGATTATTATTAGGCTCTGTGTGGAGTAAGGAAACTTGCCCAAGGTTTCGCCCTCTGCCTGGAATTGAACTCAGGTCTCTCGCTTGCAAAGCGAGTGCTCTAACCACTGAGCTACAGGACTCCAAGTCCCTTATAGCACCTTTAATGTCGAGATAACGTCCTAGTAGATAATAAAACCATGACAATTTGTGGCTGCATTATTTTATATAAGGGAAATGGTAAGGTTTTCACTGAGAATAATCCCGGTGGTTTAGCTCCATTATCCACAGTGAGTAAGAATTGCACTAAGTGACTGAAACTGTACAAGAAAATAAACAGATGAGCAGATATTGCTTCTCCTGAAGTTTGTTTTAACCATGTATTTTAGGAACCTTTCCTGCAACCTGTCCGGGCATGCAGAAAGCGTAACTTTTGCTCTGAGTAGTTTGAAACCGAAAAGATAACTGATGTTAAATCCACATTAATTTGGTTTAAAAGTTAGGAAAAGGGAAGATGTAACAGATATGAAAGCTAACTGTTTATGTAGCTGAATTGGTTGGTGTTTTCTCTTCTTGGAATCGTCTCCCAACCAACAAATTACACATTCTTAGCTTTAAAGAAATTTCTTTACAACTCAACTCGGGAAGTTTCCTCAACTGATTATGAAATGTGGTGATATGGAAAACATATCTCTCAAAACTCCAAATATCTGTCATGTGAATGAACATGCAGGAGGTACCTTTACATAGGGATTATTAGTTAACGAGAAATTGTCAGATTACAGGTGAGCATTTAGCCATTAGACCTGAACTAGTCTGAGAACTGAAGTAAATGTTTATGTATGCCATTCTATAAAATCTGTGATCACTATTCTTCTAGGTTTTTCTTTCCTTTCCTGGAAAGTGTAGTAGTTATAATTGTCCTTCATATTTCTTTTGCAGACCCCGATGCTCCAAACGTGCAGGTAACCAGACTAACACTGATGTGTGAAGCTGCACCTCAACCCTTTATCCTGGATTTATCAGGTAACCGGGGCCTCCCCAACATTTGTCCCTTGTGACCACTACTGACATTACTGCACTCACAAATATCAATGTTTGGAAGTTGGTGGCAAGGCTGTATAACACGTGGACTTTGAGTGCCTGATTATGTTAAGTCTGTGTGCAAACCATAGTTATCTTTGGGGTTTAGTGTGACAAAACTCTTTTTCAGGTGAATTGGATTCCTTCAAGAAAAATCCTTTCGTCCTGAAAGAGGATGTTGAGTACAGGATTAAAATCAACTTCAAGGTTAGTTTCTGGACTTATTGAGCCCTTCCTTTCACTCCCATTCCCCCCCCCAACCAGGACAAAGCAAAGTAGTCAGATGCCTCAGGAGACGAGGGGACTGGGGAATGATCACGTGGCATTGTTGAGGGCTATATTTTGACAGAGTCTTTCCAATCCCCAGGTTAACAAGGACATTGTTTCCGGGCTGAAATATTGTCAGGCAACATACAGAAAAGGAATATTGAGTAAGTAAAACATAGGCGCAAATAAACGTGGTGACCTCTCCCAAGTTGGGATGCGTTTAAGAAACAGACTTGTAGCTCATTGAATCTGACTGCTATGTGGTATAACTTTGCCATTTATAAGGAGTGTGAGAATTTTTTTTCTTTGGCTAAAATCTTGGAATGATGGTTGTCTCAGTCTCTCTGATTTTTTGTCCTCTGGTTCTGAGCAGTTGATAAGACCGACTACATGGTGGGCAGCTACGGCCCTCAGAAAGACGAGCACGAGTTTATCACACCGCTGGAGGAAACGCCCAAGGGCATCATCGCGAGGGGCGGTTATACCATCAAATCCAAATTCATGGACGATGACAAGAACAACCACCTCTCCTGGGAATGGTGCCTCAGCATCAAGAAGGATTGGAAAGATTAATAATCTCTGCCAACGAAGCCCGCAGTCCAAACCCATACAAAAAAAGCTTCCTCCTGTACCAAAGTTATCTTTTTTTTTAAAAAAAAGAACGAAACCGTTTAATAGATTTATACTGCACAGTGAGATCATCAGCAAAACTAAAAATAAATGATTGAACCTTTTTTTTTCGTGAAAAACACAGGTCGAAGGCTTGGCTACATTGCTTCATTCACCAAATTGCCCCCCTCTTGTTCTAAAATCTTTCGTTTTTTTTTCCTGCCAACAACTGCCTTTTTTGAACCTGCAGCTTTTTTTTTACAATAGGTATAGGTATATTAAAAAAAAGATCAACCCGGTTTAACTTGCCACCTTGATGTTGCAGATCAGGGATTTTGACACCTGAAGCTCCACTTTATAAGCAGAGCACTAAGCTTGGGGAATATTAAAGCCAGGCTAAAGAAATGAAATACAAATTTATCGAGGCAGTTTGCTTTTTGTCATGTAAATGAATCCTGTACTTTTTATTCCCGTGTGGTAACCATGTTGCCTTATGTGCGCTAAATTGTTTTGGAATATACTGTTGCAAAAATCGAATCATGTGGACTTTCTTCCAGTTGAGTATTTTATACCAGTTGCATGGATGCAGTGCCCATTTGTCTTCACAAGGTATGTATGGGTGTGTTGGCAGCACTATAACATTGCTGAGGTGGCTGAGGTGAAATAGCATTTCATCTGAGGTACAGAGTTCAGGCCTTGGTTTGATGCAGTCTTTTGTGTTGAATGTCATAGCTCGCCGTGACGAGGCAACTGCAGATTGCCGTGTGCAAAGGAGCATTTGTTATAAATATTTTTTTTATTGCCTTAGAAATCATGGAAAGAGATGGTGGGAGATGCTTTTGCCTCCAATCGTATCTTGTGCCTCATGTGGATGTGTGTCAATGATATCACTGGAATATGTGCTCTCCATTGTCTGGCTATTTTGAATGGTTCTTTTTTTAAAAAAGAGATTGGAAACATAGCGTTCTAAGCAGCCCGTAGATCATATTGGAAAGATTGTAGCTATCCAAGTTTAGAACTGGGACCAATTGTGATTTTACCTGTGTTTTTTGTCTCGCCCAACCCACCTTCCTTCCCCCTTTTACAATAATGGATTTCTTACGTCCTCCTGTGACTCCTGTGTGGCCTGGCTATTAGCAGGTTGAGGAACAATACCATCCTTTTCACAGCAAATAAAATAAATAATCAAGTGAAAGTAACCTGTCTTGTGCAGCTTTTTTTTCATCCGTGTACAATTTATACCCTTAGTTTACCTGCCCTCCCCTGATAGGATTCTTGTTTTATTTGTTGAACTTTCTTTCAATCGTATAGTATGTAGATTTTCAAGTTTGGATTCAAGACTTGCATTTGGAGGGGAGCAGATTCTATTTAATTACGTCAACACAAAATTCAGTTAAGTTTGTAAACTGCTGTTTGATTACATTAAAGAGAACTGATTTTTTTTCTCCTCCCTTTTCTTCCCTCCATTTTCCTAAAGGTACTAACTTGAACTAGCCCATGTGTGCATTCTTCGAGTATCTGGATGTTCGATTGAGTGAAGATTATAGCCCATCAAGAATCTTCACTTGAAGTGCACATCTGTGCTTTACTGCAGATTCTCTAGTCAGTTGCAATACCTCCACTACCTTCCTGACACATCAGCCAGCTCGGCTCAGCCTAATAGTTTTTGCAGCCTTGAAGAGGTATTGTCTTTATGAAAGTGTTTCCTTTTAAAACAACCACCTGGGGCAGGTAGGCGGGACCTCGCCTGACCGTCTTGTCTTCAATACAGTGTTGCTGACAAGACAGTGCTTTCTCAATACTGTGCTGGAGTGTCAGCCTATGTTGAGCTCAAAATTATGGCATGGCTCTTTAACCACAGCCTCTGATCCGGAGCTGAGGGCTACCAACTGAGCCATACTGCATACTAATGTTAAGAATTACCAGTTAAGAATCGAGTGCCTTCTGGAAGCCGAGGGACTGCTATAAATGTGACCTTCCTGAAGCTAACACTTGGCTTGCAGCAAGGGTGGGTCAATAATGTAGCAGTATTATATTTCCACCACTGGAGGGTGCTGACAGACTTCTTCAGAAGCAGAAATCTTTCACAAAACATTGAAGCAAAAGTTAAGTGACATGAAGAAAGTCTCTTCCGATAATATCTTTTGACGTCCAAATAGATAAAAGGCATACAAGGCCTTAGGGAGTTCTCCTGATGTGTAAGGTAAAATATCAATGAAAAATTTGTATTGTTCTTTATCCCATTTGAAGTTTGGCAGCTTCAATCGCAATGCTTTCTCCACCAACCCCCCCACCCACCCAAGTACTGGTCTGGATTAATAGCCTGGAACTCGGGGTGTTTTTTATTTCCAACCTTTTTATTCCATGCTGTTTCTCTGCAGAGAAACTGACTGAAAGCTAAATAGTAGCCGTGATCGCAGTTTGCGAATGCTGCATTTTATAACAATAATAATAATAATCCTTGCATTTGATATAGCGCTTTTCACATCGGGAGGACGTCCCAAAGCGCTTCACAGAACACACTGTAAAGTGAATTGACTGTATATTTGTGGGTGAACGCGGCAGCCAATTGCGCACAGCAATGACCCACAAACAGTCGTAGATTGAAAATGACCAATTTATTATTGTTTTTGGTTTTGGAGGGATTATTATTAGGCTCTGTGTGGAGTAAGGAAACTTGCCCAAGGTTTCGCCCTCTGCCTGGAGTTGAACTCAGGTCTCTCGCTTGCAAAGCGAGTGCTCTAACCACGTCCTGTAGCTCAGACCCATTTTAGACCCATTGTTTCTATTATAAAATGACTTATAAATCAGGTATCTAATTTGCTTCCAGGCTTTGAGAGTGAAGAAACCAGCCCATGTTAGGTCACTTACCTTGTGTGTGTGTGTGTGTATATATATATATATTATATATGTATACACACTCTTTCTCCTCCACATAGCATCAAGTTACTCAGAGTAACCTGTAGCTAAAGAATAGTGTCCATGATCTGCTGGCCACGATCTGCTAAATCTGCTTCTGTTGGCTACAACTCAGAACAGGACACACTGGAGTGCAGGAGAGATTTTCGTCCCATTTGGTGCAACTGTGGTGAAACCACGATAAGCTACATGTGTAGTTTAGTCTGTAAAATGGGCAAGGCTAAACGACATTAAGCATTGCATGAAATCAAACGTATGGTTTAAATTTTGTTGGGACTGATATTCCCTCATGATCTTGGAGTTAATAACCAGCCTTAGTGCAGCGTTTCTCAACACGGCTGCCTGAATGATTTTGTGTGGCCACAGCAGCCCCCATCCTGGCGGGAGGGTGTGTGTGTGGAGTGGAAAGCCTATGGTCGAGCATGTGCTGGGCTCGCTGCTGCAGAGGAGTGGCCAGACAACAACTTGCACTTGTAGTGTCCTCCACCACAGAGCGCTTAATCGACTACAGCTCCCAGGGAGTGTTGTGAGGGTGGACAGGCAGCTGTTTGGGCATGTGTGCTTTCTACCTGAGCTCCAGCTGGCTCAAGATGGAGAGATAGTAACACAGATTTGGGAAAGTTGTGCTGTGGCCACCAGTAACTTGGCGACCGCACACTGAGGTCACGCTAAACAATTATTTAAGGCAGAGTCACTCTAATGAGGCCAATCAGACTTTACCAACTCAAGCTTGCATCAACTCAGTTTTGTGCAAGTTATCTGATTGGGATAGGCTCTGGAACATGAAAAAAATTACCTATATTATTCTATTTACTCCACACGCCTGGCATTAATCCCTCAAAAAAATAATAAATTGGTCATTTTCAATCCACGACTGTTTATGGGTCACTGCTGTGCGCAATTAGCTGCTGCATTTCGCCCACAAATATATAGTCAATTCACTTTGCAGTCTATTCTATGAAGCCCTTTGAGACATCTAGAAGACGTGAAAAGTGCTATATCAAATGCAAGGATTATTATTATTATTTGACATTGCCAGAAGCTTGCCTTTCCTCTTCCCTCCCCAATTTTTTTATTACAAACCTATCTAGGAGAATGTTGACTTAGACACTGTGTTGAATGATTCATAATTTCTTTTAGGATGGATTCCACTGTAGGTTATTTTGAAGAACTTTTCTTCAATTTCCTTGACTTTTCAACAAGGTGAGGGCAGACTGCGGTTTCAGTGCTGTTTGGTGTTAAGGTTGATTGACTTGGCTCACTGGCTTGGGTTCACATTGGTAGCCAATTGCCTGGAGGACTGTGAAAAGTATCACGGTTGGTTGGCCGTGTTAATTGCTGCCGCTGATGCCTTGTCTTTCTGTAGGTGTTGCACATTGTGCCAATTGTAACGTGGCGAGGGAAGTGTGGGAAGAGGAAGGCTTTTTGTGCACAAGTGGGACATGACACGCTCATGTTGCCCTGTTGATCCCACCCGTTCACAACACTCCAGAATAGTATCCAACATAGAAGGGAGATGCTTGTCATGATCGATGTTTAAGTGTGCGTGTGGCTCTGGCTGGTTCAGAACCATTAACCCCGGTCTTCAGATCATACCTTATATTTCCTCTAGAACTGTGGTTACCATCGCCTCCCTTTTCGCCGCAGCCCGGTGTCAAATTACACTTTTGTTCAGTGCTCTGAGAAGCTACCCTGTCTGAAGGGTGCTTATATGTATGCACGTTTTTGATGTTGTAATCTACCAATATGTGGGAACTGTGGAGTGATATTTGTTGAGGTGGGACTGCCCTTCACACTGGGGCTTTGGCTCATAGGGCTAGGGAGGTATGTGCACCTCCAAGTCTTCTTGATGAGCCAGTAAAGGGCTATGCAAGCAATAGGGAGCTTGCCAGGCAGTGCTTTCCATGGCAAGCCATGCAATTTTAGCTGGTTGAACTCCAGCAGTACCCTCATGCACACTGGGTCCTCAGGTCTTAGCTTTTGCCAACTTGTGCCTAAAACTCTCTAGAATTAGGTAAGCAGGTTGTGTTCTTCTGGTTGGGGGGGGTGGGGAGGTGCATCCCATTCCAAACATGAGAATTTCCAGGTGGAGGTGGAATACATGGAACTGTGCTTGGTTTGCATACCCTCAAGCACAGTGATCTTTCTGCATGTGTCAGACAAATATGCTATTACAAATGTAGTTTGTTTTGAACTGGAGAAAAGATCTTTCTAAACTAGAATCATGAAACTAGACTAATCTGTTAACAATCTGTTCTGTAACTAAGAACACTCAGTACATGCTCCCAAAGATACGCTTCTTGAGCCTGGCTGGGTTAAAGCTGTAATCAGATTAACCTAGTGATCTACAAACTTACTACCTGCCAGCAGCAAGCTTTCTGACACGTATTCGAACTGTTAGTGTACTTCCTTCTGATGTCATCTACCAACTCGTGTCCTTTTAACCTTGCCCAAGATGACGTGTCCAAAAAGTGGCTTTGTTACATTCACTCCGTGTTCAGTGTTGTAAGGAACAAATTGCAAGGAGAGAATCGTTTACGCCATTTTTTCGCCCACTCCCTAGCCCCCTCCCAAACTATTTAACTCATTTTAACCTACTCGAATCCGGACCCAGTCCAGAACTGATTCTGCCAATTAGTGGAGTCCTGGAGCTCAGTGGTTAGAGCACTCGCCTCGCAAGCAAGTGACCTGGGTTTGATTCCCAGCAGGGCAAAACCTTGGGCAAGCTTCCTTACTCCACACGCCTGATAATAATCACTCAAGAAAAAGAACAATAATAATTTGGTCACTCAATCCACGACTGTTTGTGAGACACTGCTGTGCGCAATTGGCTGCTACGTTTTGTCCACAAAATATACAGTCAATTCACTTTACAATGTACTCTATGAAGCACTTTGAGACATCTAGAAGATTTGAAAAGCGCTATATCAAATGCAAGGATTATTATTATTATTGTTCAGGTGTATGCTAAAGATCCCATTTGAAAAGGGAAGGGAGTTTCTCCCAAGTGTCCTGGCCAATAATCCCCCAGATAAAAACAAAAAATCCGTCATGCATGACTGTTTGAGACACAGCTCTGTACAAATTTGCTGTCATTTTAGCCTACAAATACAGACACTAAAATTTACAGAAAAAGTCTGGTAAACCCTTTGAGATGTGTTGATGTGATAAGGCATCATATCAAATGCAAGAACTGTTAATGCCTTAAATTTGTGCCCTCATTACTGATTCACTGGCTAATGGTCAGTCTCAACAGAAATTGCAACATAAAGGAGACCATTGGATTCACCCAGGCTGAGAGGAATTTATGCTGTGGAAAGACACAGTGAACAGGTGCATCCTGAATTGCTTTCTCTCAGCTGATAATAGAAAGAAAAATGAGAAGGAACCAGTCAATTCGAAACAGTCTGACTAAAAATAAAGACAGTTCAATTCCACAGGTGAGTGTTTCCTCATTCTGTTCCCTTTATAGTGGAGTCCTGTAGCTCAATGGTTAGAGCACTCGCCTCGCAAGCAAGTGACCTGGGTTTGATCCTCGGCAGGGCAAAACCTTGGAGAAGCTTCCTTACTCCACACGCCTGATAATAATCCCTCAAGAAAAAAAAGAATAATAAATTGGTCACTTCCCCTCTGAGCCCAGAAAGTTGTGGATTCAAATTTCAGGTTTGTACTCAACACTCCAATGTAGTGCTGGGGAGTGCTAATTGTCAGAGGTGCCACTCTTTAGATGAGATGTTAAACTGAAGTCCCATCCGTATATGTTCAGGTGGACGTTAAAGATCCCATGACTCTTAAAAGAGAAGGAAGTTTCTACTGGTATCCTAGCCAACAATCACACCAGGTAAAAAATTGGTTGTACACATAATGGCTGCTTATGGGACATTGCTGTGCTCAGATCAGCTGCTGCATTCACCTACAAATACAGTCACTATATGTTACAGGATAATTCTGTGAAGGCATAATTATCACATCAACATGTAGCACGTCAACACATCACCCACATATATCACACTAACATGTCTTACCTATACGAGCAGACAGAAGTGAGTGAATGTTAACTGTGTCAGTGGTTAAAAATAGTATACATTCACCCACATATATACAGTCACTACGCTTTGCAATAAATCCTGTGAAGCACTTTGTGCTGATGAGGATCTATATATCATACCAGGATTATTATGATTGTAGCTAGATATTCAAATTAACTATTTTTCCTAGTCAGTAACAACAATAAACCTAGACTAGACTGAAAGTGAACTTTCAGCTTTAGAATAATTTTAGACTTTCCCTTGTGGGTTTCTTAATATAAACTGGCAGCTGAGATTATCAGTGCGTGGCTTGAGCACCTGTCTCTTAAAGGTATTTTTGACATCATTACTATAAGTTACAGAGAAATGATCTGTATTTGATTATGGGAGAGTTCCCATTTTGTGTGAGGGCCACATGTTGGGATGAAGTGAATTGTTTTCTGATACATTTTTCCTTTTCCTGTTGTCACAACCATGTCCATCTTCCAGTGAGGTGGTGGTGGGGGGGGGTTCATCACTGGTTGGCAATCAGGAGCAGGGGAGGGGTGGAGGCTTGCGTGGACTATAAACACTGCAGCAGACTAGTTGGTTTTAATGGCCTGTTTCCATGCTGTAATCTGCGTTATTACAGCATGGAAATGTCCTGTAGCTGTGGTTAGAGCACTCGCTTTGCAAGTGAGCGACCCGAGTTCAATTCCAGGCAGAGGGCGAAACCTTGGGCAAGTTTCCTTACTCCACACACAGCCTGATAATCCCTCCAAAACCAATAATAAATTGGTCATTTTCAATCCACGACCGTTTGTGGGACAATGCTGTGCGCAATTGGCTGCCGCGTTCGCCCACAAATATACATTCAATTCACTTTACAGTCTATTCAGTGAAGCGCTTTGGGATGTCTAGAAGACGTGAAAAGCGCTATATCAAATGCAAGGATTATTATTATTACTATTCTAATAATTGAGCTGCGTGGCTCGGCACGACACCTGGCAACACCTTTACCCACTGATCCTTTTGAGGCAATTGGTTCGTCTTCAAGTCTCACGGTCACGACAACGCTGCCTGTGACCTACACTGCAGCACTTTTCAAGCGCCGCGAAAGTGCTTCGCGGAGCCTTCTGCCCCCGCGTCCCCCCCGGGCCGGCCAACGCCGCGGGGGGCCCCAGCCGCACGGTCCACCCCACGCTCAACGGGGTAAATCCCGGCGAGAGCGTTCGTCGGGCGCTCCCTTCCCCCATCTCCGGGTCTTCGCCTGAAGACCCTCCCGTTCGGACCGCGCCCGGATCGGGTCGCCGCCCCGGGTGGGGTGGGGGGGGGGAGTGCGGCATAAGTGCAAGTTGTCGTTGCTGTTGAGATTTTTTTTGGTGTGGGGGGGAGGGGGTGGGGGCGAGGCTCTGCATCAAATGCAAAGACTCCTCTGGTAGCGTTGGATTGGGACACAACGTTGAGGCACTGGGGGAAGGGGTGGGTGTGGGGGGGGGGGGAGGAGGGGTCAGCTGGAGCCCCGGAAGTGCATCCCAGGCCGACTTCCGGCCAGCGGGCGCGGGCCAATCGGATGGCTCCACGAACCGCTCCGGCTTGATTTAAGCGCCTGCGCAGTAGCGGCTGCTCCTTCCCCCGCCCCTCCCGCCCCGAGAGCGCGAGTCGAGTCGAGTCAGTGAGAGAGCCCGAGGCCCCCGAAGCGCCACGTCCCGTCTCCTCACCTCACACCCACACCCCAACACACACCCCCACACACAGAGGTCCAGCCCGCGGCCCCGACAGCCCGCTCTCCGCACACCGTCCCGCCGCCTCCGCCGCTACTCTTGACCACTTGACCCCCCCCCTCCCCACCCACCCCGAGGATGTGGGGCCTGGCTGTGCTGTGCCTGGCCGCTCTGGCTCGCGCCTCCCGCGCCGCCGTCGAGGACATCGCCACCGAGGACGACGTGCTGGTGCTGAAGAAGGACAACTTCCAGAAGGCGCTGGAGACGCACCGGTTCCTGCTGGTGGAGTTCTGTGAGTGTCTTGACTGCTGGATCAGGCCGACTAACCACTAGTTTCACTAACCAGCCAACCAACCAACCAGCCAACCAGCTGCCAACTTTATATCTAAAGTTCCAAACCTGTAAAGTTTTAATTCGGTTTCAACTTTTTATTTCATACAACAATAGTCTTCGTTTTTGTATATACGCTGTATATATGTATCTGTGTACACATATACACATGTGTGTACAGCCATGTCAAATGCAAGGATTGTTCAAATATATATATATATATATATATGTATAATGTATTTTCCCCAAGGAATGGTAGTTCTTTCACTTTAGTCGGTAAAGAATATTCCACACACAATTTGAATAGTAATCTAGTATATATATTATATATATATATACACACACATACACACACAGTATAAAAAAGTTGTTTTATATATAAAGTAACGATCAACCAGTTCAGATTGGAGTAAAGTAAGTCAACTTTTGTATCAAGGTCGAAACTTTCTCAGTCATCGGACCAATTAGCTGCTTTTAAACACAGTTTTGAAGTACTGTATCTAAAAGCCGCTCATAAATCAGTCATGAACTTACTTTTTCTCTATATAGAAAGCTAATGGACAATACTTTTTCCCCAAAAAAATTCCGAACTAGTCCCTTTGTTGGGATGGTGAAAGCTTAATCGATCATCTTTGTTTAAATAGCTTCCCGAGGGGATGTTCGGTGAGTTGCTGCTGGACTGTAAAACTTAATAACGTGTTATAAACTTTTCCTCCCAAGTGCTGCACTCACAAACTTTAACCGGCGATTAAATGCAAAGGTTGGTACAGTCAGCTCTGAAATAAACTAGCACCAGTCGCTAGTCAATAGTTAACCATGCAGTGGTTACAGTAAAGGGAGTTGTGCTCCAGCCTCCCCCCCCCCCAGCCCCCAGTCTGGCCCCTTCGGCTGACAACGAGCTGTAGTTTTTACTCTCACCAGTCGGTGCATTTTCTAAAACATGAATCAGTCGCTGCTTACAATGTATAATCGGTGGGGGTTCGGGCTAAGAGTTGTGAAACTGTTCGGACTCTGCACCGAGCACTCTGGCAGCACCACATCTCAACCTAAATCTCGGCTAAATCACTGACTTTCGCTCTTTGCTTTCTTGCCACACGATCCTCCTCCTCAGGAAGCCGGAGCCCGTCTGTGGCGTCCTCTCACTCTCTCTCTCTCTCTCCTTCCCTCTCTCACTCTCTCTCCTTCCCTCTCTCTCTCTCTCCTTCCCTCTCACTCTCTCTCCTTCCCTCTCACTCTCTCTCCTTCCCTCTCTCTCCTTCCCTCTCACTCTCTCTCGCTCTCTCTCTCCTTCCCTCTCACTCTCTCTCTCCTTCCCTCTCACTCTCTCTCGCTCTCTCTCTCCTTCCCTCTCTCACTCTCTCTCTCCGTTTCATTCATTGCTCTCACGTCGGACGAGAGGGGAGTTCCGGTGCCATTCATTCATTGTCGGGAGCGCGATTTTTTTTAAAAAAAGGAATGGGACTTCTTTGACTTTATTCGGTAAAGAGATTATTCCGTGTACAGTCTGAACAGTGACCCTGAATGTTTTTCTCACATTTCGGAAGCCGCGATCTTGCTTTGGGGGAGAGGTGTGGGTGTGTGTGGGTGTGTGTGTGGGTGTGTGTGTGTGTGGGTGTGTGTGTGTGTGTGTATACGTGTGCGGGTTTTTCTTTTTGGTGGCGATTGAGTTGCGTACGTTTCCACTCTGACTTACTCCATGGAGTAGCTCAGACTCCCGGTCGCACGTACAAGGAGAACGCCGGGGGGGGGGGGGGGGGGGTGAACGCAACCTGGAGCAAAACTGGGTTGATTGACGGCTCCTCCAGCCACTGGGCAGCAACACTCCCGAAGCAGCTCCTCGCCGATCCTTCTCTTTTCGCAGCGCGCAGACGTGGAACTCGCTTATCTCCGCACAGTTGACGTGTAGGAGGGTCAATGGTTCGACTTCCAACTCATCTCGGCTCCCCACACCCTCGCTGACGATGCAAACTGTTGGGGAGTGCAATGTCCAATGCTTCTTGCAGTCTGTAACCGCTGCCCCCCCACCCCCACCCACCCCCCCCCCCCCCCAAAAAAAAAAACCACACACACTGCTGGGTAGAATGGGCAGAGTTAGAAACCACAGCGGAGTTATTTTATAAACTTTTAATTGCAATAAAACGCAGAGAAGGTTAAGAGGAGACAAGTCTGCAGGGCTATGGGGAGAGCGCGGGGGAGTGGGATTAAATGGATAGCTCTTTTCAAAGAGCCAGCACAGACATGATGGGTTGAATGTCCTCCTTCTGTGCTGTTATAATTCTATGATTCTATGATACTTGTGCTGTAACCACAAGCAGTGACTTTTTGCAGGGAATAAATTTTTGCTTGTAATACTGCCTCTTATAATAATAATCCTTGCATTTGATATAGCGCTTTTCATGTCTTCTAGACGTCTCAAAGCGCTTCACAGAACAAACTGTAAAGTGAATTGACTATATTTGTGGGTGAAACGCAGCACAGCAGTGTCTCACAAACAGTTGTGGGTTGAAGTGACAAATTAATTATTTTTTTTCTTGAGGATTATTATCAGGCATATGGAGTAAGGAAACCTGACCAAGGTTTCGCCCTGCCGGGATGCCGGGAATCGAACCCAGGTCTCTCACTTGCGAGGCGAGTGCTCTAACTGCTCAGCTACAGGACTCCACACAAAGGAGTCCTTATCTGTGCATACTTTACTGCTCCAATGCCGTTTCCCACCCCTCTTTGTCCTATCTTGAGAAATCGTTCAGTGCAGTTGTGGGCTTGTGTGTTGTCACACGTAACTCTTGTCACCTCTGAAGCTGCCGTTGGGGTCTTGTTTTCAGGCAGAGGATGGGTGGTTTTGGACTTGCTGGTCTTACACTGGAATTAGTGGGAGAGCGAGAGCTGTGAGATTCAATATTTTACCTACATGTTTAAATTTGTGAGGTTTGCCCAAGTTAATTCGCTTGGAATGAATGTTATATTGTGTTCTGGCTAAAAATATAAGAGTATCAAAGCAAAGAGCATATTTTCAGTAAAATTGTTGGGTGGCTAAACTTGGTGCGCAGTGGCCAGTTGTACTCCAGTACTTGACTTCATTTGTCAGAAACTGGCACATGTGCTGACCGTTTATCAGCCCCGATGGTTTCATGAATGATTAAAGAAGAGGAGATTGGTCTTGTTCTGGCAGTGTGCTCCACTTCCCACCTTTGTGGTGAATGCAGACTTGGGTGGGCAGAAGAGATTGCAGCGGGAAGTTGGGATACTGAGCAAGGACAGAAGGCTGACTGCCAGTAGTTATCTTATGTTGCAGGAATTGCTTCTGTTGCTGCACAGAACCACACAGGCAGCCGCGTTTGAGAAACTCTGGTCGAGATAACGGTTAGTGCGGAAGAGAGTAACTATTGGATGTGAGGTGTGATTCCCTCGTTCTGAATTCTGGTTTTCTGGAGGAATTGGCTCTTTTAAAGGAGAGACTGAACGTTTAGTGCGACGCCTTTGGTCGAGAATGTAAATTTAATTTGCAAAATTTACATTTTATTCTAATCAAAGGGAGAAAGAAGTACAGTACTTTCAGCCTCTGGAATTGCCTCACCGTTCCATTGAAAAGCTATGTAAATGACCCACAATGTGTAATTTATCTCAAGGCAGCGAGGAAGTATCAAACTATACTTGTGTTTGCTCTCGTCCAAATAATTTGCTGCTTTTTTTTTTCTGCTTCCCCTTTGCTGATGTGTGATGCCATGTGGTGCTGGCTGTTGTATGGGATCTTGTCGATGTAATCCAGTCTTTGTGGCAGCTCGCACTGTGAGCAAACCCTGGCATGGGACTTGAACCCACAGCCCAGAGGTGAGAGTGCTACCAACTTAACCAACATGATGCAATCTCTCTGGTGCTGGAAGTTTTACAACCAAAATAAACATACACCTTTCAAAATTGCTGCATCGAAAATACTACCAAGAGTAGAACATTTTTTAATAAAATTAAAAAAATTCTTGCATTTGATATAGCACTTTATCAAGTCATTGAGACGTCTGAGAGTGCTTCACAGTACTGTAAAGTCAATTGACTATATTTTGTGAGCGTAACACGACAACCAATTGCACACAGCAGTGTCCCACGAACAGTCGTGGATTGAGTGACCAAATTTTTATCTTTTTGATGGATTTTTGACCGTTTTTCTGATGTTGCTAGAATTGACATACCTGGATTCATGTGCTCTGAATCCCACTGCAGCAAGCTTCTTTCTAATAGAAGACTGCTGCTGTGAAGGACGCTGGGTAGGTAGAATTCCAGCCATTCCTTCTGTTAAGACCCGAGGCAGTATTTTAATGTGAATCCCTGATGTATGTTTGTGAGCTCTGGCAGATAAGAAAAAAACCTCTTTGACTGGCCCCCGATGGCTACAAGCATCATAATTTCTGCCTGCTGCAGATTGGCCAACAATCCCCCAAATAAAACTGGTCACTTATTTCATGGCTGTTTGTGGGACATTTGCTATATACATCTGCTGCTATGTTTCGCCCACAACATACACAGTTACTCCACTTTACCAAATATCCTGTGAAACATTTGAGACGTTGCAGCGACTTGATAAGGTGCTGTATCAAATGCAGCAATTATTATTCACTCACAGCCTTCAGAAGTGGAGAGAATCGAAGGAGTGTGAATCAAATGCAGCCTCTTATCGTCTTTGCTCAGCACAAAGTAACATCTCTCTGTGACTGGGCTGTAAATCCAGGCTGCTCATTTACTCAGCTGTCCGTTTTCTCAGTGTGTTTATTGCAAACATTAAACTTATTTTTATTTAACAACCTCGCCGGCAAACCATCAAAAACTGTTTGTCTGCCTCTGTACAGCTGCTCGGCAGTCTTTGATTTGAGTTGATGGTCTGACGTGTTTGGTGACACAATCAATTCTTAGACATTCCACAGCTTTCTCAGCTGCACCTCCCCCTCCACACACACACACACAGAGAAAAAGCATGTTGGTGCCCGTACAGATGAATTGCTAGTGTGTACGTTCATTGATCCAGATGTGTTTTGTGACTGAACCTGTGAAATCTCTCTGTTCTAGACGCTCCCTGGTGCGGCCACTGCAAGGCCCTGGCTCCTGAGTATGCCAAGGCGGCTGGGAAACTGAAGGAGGAGGGCTCTGAGATCAAACTCGCCAAAGTAGATGCCACCGAGGAATCGGACCTGGCACAGAAGTTTGGGGTTCGGGGTTACCCGACCATTAAGTTCTTCAAAAACGGGGACGAGGCCAGCCCTAAGGAGTATTCTGGTAAGTCAGAGTGGGGTGTGACTGGACTAGGCCTGGTAAATACACAGGAATGCAGCCTGTTAAGTAGAGTATTGTATTAGTTGGCTGTGGGCAAGTGGGTTTGTGTGTCGTTCTTCTCGAATCACGTTTCCTCCAAACTGTTTTCCTCGGCCTCCTGCGTGCCTCCACGCGCTCTAAACTGCCAGCTTCAATCCAGGACTCCTGGAACGGTCTCACTGACTCTGTACTTGTCCCGATCAGGGCTGGGGTGCGCTTGTGTTACAGACGCTAAACTAACTTTGTAAGCTGGGATTTGGATGATTTTTAACAATAACTTTGACGCTGTCCTTGTACACTGTTCAAAACTACGTTAAATATTTTTATATTTCACCATTTAAGATGATTTTTTTAGATTCAAACGTGATCTTGTTGCTTAGATACATCTACCATGGTTTTACCTGAGCAAATCGGCCATTTGTAGCTTTTGCACTTGTTCCTGGTGTTTCTGCCCACCTGGTGCCTGGTACTGAGCACTGCTGCTGCTGTGCAGCTGACAAACCTCCAGCGACGAAATGCCAACTCACCAGAGTCCAGACCGGGTTTAGCTTCTCCCACCCGCTGGGTGCTGTGGGAATCTTGCCAACTTTGATTTCTGATCAGTAAGGGTAACTGGTTGGGTTACTTTTTTTTAATGGGAAAAAAAAGAAACATGGGTTGAATGTGGCTAATAGACGCAGGCAGTGAGTGGGCTGGCAGAGCTCCAGCTCCCACCGCTGAGTGTGAGGAAGCTGAGCTTGTGCCGCAGATCCTAATTGATTAGAACGTACCGACCGGATTGAGAAATGTGGCGGGTGCAGTTTTACAGCTACACCTCTCTTGGTCGGAATGAGAAACACGCCCTCTGTAAGGATTGAACAAAAGATGTACTTAATGTGGCAGACTGGTTATTCAAGGAAGGACGGGAAAACCTTTTCTTGGCACCAACGTGTTTCATGGCTTCTCTTCTCCTTTCTTTGGTAGCCGGGCGACAGTCTGAAGACATCGTCAACTGGTTGAGGAAACGCACTGGCCCGGCTGCCGAGACCATCACCGAAGCCAGCGCCGCTGAGAAGCTGGTGGATTCTTCTGAGGTGGTGGTGATCGGATTCTTCAAGGTGCAGACTTTATTTTAACTCGAGGTCTGGAGGCGGGGCTAAACTCCATCCCATAATTCCGTTAAAAATAATAATAATTTGGTCACTTCAATCCACGCCCATTTGTGGGACACTGCCGTGTGCAATTGGCTGCCGCGTTTTGCCCACAAAATATACAGTCAATTCACTTTACAGTATATTCTGAAGCGCTTTGAGGGGTCTCGAAGACGTGATAAGGCGTTGTATCAAATGCAGGGATTATTATCAGTGGCTCTACAGCTGAGAAGCTCTGAAATCAGCCAGGCTGATTTAGAAGTTTAAGGTTATATTAAAGGATAAGGACGAAAGGCAGGGAATTGGCATGAAAAGATCTTTAGTAAATTGATGGGACCGGCTCAGTGGCCTCCTCCTGTTCTCGTAATCGGCTAAAATGAATTATAATAATCATCATAAATAATACTCATCACTTAACTGAACCTTTCTTTAGATGTGGACACCAGGTGGTGCTGTTAAAGCTCTGATTAGGGAGAGTCTTTCACTTGAGACGAGCTATGTCTTCACTATCCAACTCCCATTTCTCCTCCCTCCTCTCCCTCCCCCCAAAAAAGTCTGGAATTCAAGTGTTCAGCTGTGAATTGTGGCCGAAAATCCTCCTATTTCACTGTGTACAAACCAGCTGTTCCTTGGTTTAGTGTTTTTGTTAATGCAGCTTCAATGAACTCAAATGATGATGCTTCACTGTATTTCATTGTGGATGGTGGGGTTGGGGGGGGTTTGAAGGAGGAGGAGGATGTGGGTGTGAAGAATGCAGGGCCTGGGTGTCAAGCTTGTCTACTATTTGTTTCAGGATGTGGAAGGAAGCGATTCCAAAATCTACATGGACGGGGCGGAATCCATCGATGAGGTTCCGTTTGCAATCACCTCCCACCCAGACCTGTTTGCCAAGTATGACATGAAGGAGGATGGAGTCGTCCTGTTTAAAAAGGTAAAATGAGTGATCGGCCGCTGTTTATTCAGGATTGAGACTGAACTTTGTGGATCCGTCGTGCTTTTGTTTGGGCAGTTACTGGGTCAGTTGACAGTGTTCGATAGTAGCACAGTTGGTTCTACCCCCAGCTATAGGCTAGCTCCAGTCTGCTACTAACTTTTGGCTTGTAAATAAAGGATTGAACCTGCTCTTACTCTACCTCAGGTGCAGAAGCAACCTTGTGCTCAACAATGCTCCACAAACTGTTGGACGTGAGTGCAGTGCAAGCTGACCCTCTGTCAATGCAAATCAATAGCTGTCTGTAGTAGTGTTAATGCTGCTGTAACTCAGGCTTGCTTCCCCCCCACCCCCTCCCGTAATTGGACATGCTCAGAAGATTGGCCAGAAGGCTGCACTGCGTAGAAAATAAAATGCTGAACTAGACCATTGCTTAAAGTACTGTTCGCTTCCTGTAACCAGAGCGTTTACACTGCAGCCCAGCCAAGACCAGCATGGCTATTACTGTCACATCTGTTTTTTGCAACCCTGCAGCTGGCCTTGCTTGTCAGAATTGCTCTTCCCAGCATGTGGCATCGCTGGAATTCCTCAGGAGGAGAGGAGTGTTCAAAGTGTCTGGAACTCAGGGCTTTGGTTTAACAGCCTCTGAACTAAATGAACATGGCACTGCAGTGAGTTTGTGGCAAGTTTTACATGGAAGTGCCCAGTAAAAGTGCCCCTACCCGTCAGGGCTTTGGCTTGCAAGGTTAAGAGGAGCTGAGTGGGATGATTCCCTGCCCTTAGTGACTAGTCTGCCCTCCCAAGTCCTGCTGATGAGCCATGCTGGCTGTGCTGTCATCATGATAGGATGGCACTAAGCCAATATGTAGCTTTGTGTCAGAGCAGTTGGGTGTGTAGTGAACATGCAGTTATCCCAAATTGCACTCAGGGGAGTTGCTTCTTTGGCTGAGAGTCTGGTTTTGGAAAGTGACTTTAGGGGATTTTCTTTAACGAGGCTGCTAATTCTAAATGTGTAAAGGTGCAGGAGTGAGTGGTTTATATTTAGAAGAGTGGCTTAGATGGAATGTCAAGCCTTAGCTAGTGATAAGTCTGTTTTTTTTGCCACTTCACCCTGACTGAAAGGCTTTAAATATGGGCCTTATAGAGGTCAGTGCAGAGTTCTATGTATGAGGACTGCAAGCCCACCTGTGTTTAGTTTTATATTTGTGTGGGTGTGTGTGCATACCCGTCATTGTGTATAAGTAAGCATTCAAATATCACTCTCCAGCTAGTCAGCTGGTGTCTGCATAATTACTAACTAAGCTGTTAGAACTGTTCTGTTTTAATGGGAATGCTATTTTGGGGATGAAGCATTAGACAACCACACAGGCACCTGTTGGTCAGTGGGACGGAGGAAGTTGAGCATTGCTTAATATTGGGTGATTACCGTCAGTACTGTTTTGCCTTCCTTTCCCAGATTTAATCCTTTGGTCCAGGGCTTTATTTAGGGCATTGCAATGGGTGAGTCGGTGATTGGAGGAGAAAGAGGAAAGTAAGGAGAGAAATGGGCTCAATACTGATTCATGACTTCAACCTTACCCTCCAATCTTGGTTCTAAGATTGAGGGAGGAGGGTCAGTGCCTGTCAGTCCTGGTTAGTGCTATGTTTGTGTGAGGGGTAGCGGTGTCCTTTTTCAGAGAGGAAGAAAACTGTATCCTGCAGCTCCCCAAGACCCCACCACCCTCTGCTCTCCCATTTTCCTCCATTGACAAGTTTCCCACCAGGAAATTGATACCATGAGCGCCCTCAGAGGGCTGAGTATAGCAAGCAAAAGGTCGCAATGCCATCTGGAATTCAGTTTGTGTGCTGCGTTCCAGACTCCGGTCATTGCCTTTTCAGATGTGTGGACCAGTGGCGAATGCTGTAATGTTAAGAGGCAGCCTCTTGTGAAAGTTACAGTGACTGGCTGTTGGTGTCAGAATACCTTCGAGCAAAGCTAAGATTTGCTATTTGCCCGAATGTACTGTGAAGTTCCTGCAATCTGTTATCTTTTTTGTTAGCTTGTGGGTACTACTCTCTTTACTGGATACACTTGCTTCCATTTAGGGGGATGTCAATGTAGAATAAACACTGGTTCTGTAAATTGTAGAATCCAGCATCAAGTCAGTCAGGGGTTGTGATGTGAGGGCGGGATGGATGTTTATGAACATAAAGCTGGAGGCAAGTGCGTAATGGGGTCTAATCTGAACCCAATCTCTCTTCAGGTGAACAAACTTCTCAATAAAGTTTTCAGCTAGGCTCGGCTCAGGACTCCTTAAATAACAGTATGAAGTGCTTTGAGGCGCTTTTCATGTAAAAGGTACTGTGTGATCGCTGTGGATTAGCCGATGGGTCTGGCAGCTGTTCTAAGTATCTCCTGAAATGTCGATGTGGAGAGGGTGGTGCCATTTACTATGGCTACAATGGCGCTGACCTAATGAGGAGTTGGATGTTGCATTGAACCTGGGATCAATGACCGTTGCTTTGTTGGCATCTTATCTCCTAGTTCGACGAGGGCCGTAACACGTTTAATGGAGAATTTACCAAGGAGAACCTCATTGAATTCGTCAAGAGCAACCAGCTGCCTCTCGTCATCGAGTTCACTGAACAGGTAAGAAATAAGTTGTATCTTTTTGCAAGCCCGGCATCTCCCTTCCAAAAATTCCTGAACATTTCTGTATTGAAGTAACTTGGCTCAATCTCCCACCTCGTGCTTGTGTTACATGATGCCTCCCTTTGCTCTTGCTCGGAAAGGCGCTTGTATCACTTTCAGCAAATGATTTTTGTTGGCAACACTCACGCTTTGTCAAGTGGTAGAAATTCCAGATCTTGGTTACAGTTACTTTGAAGGCTTACGCTGACTGGTTTTAGCAAAGAGGGGCTTAAAACAATGAGCTCCTAACGCACCTAAATTTAGCTCATGTCTGGAATCCCGATTCGCTTTCCAAGAAATCACTCCTGGTTGGAGTTGTGAATTGGGATCTTGGAGCTGAATTTTCAGACAATTGATTGTCAGCTTGTTTTGAGGAGAGTTAGGTATGTACGTTGAAATGGGTGGAGGGTGGGGGTTTAATAGGAACTTTGTGTAAGAACAGTTCTGCTTTCACACCTGGTTCGGTACAGTGTTAATCAGTTGCAGGATGATCACAGATTCTTACCCTCTCCACAGACTGCTCCAAAGATCTTTGGCGGGGATATAAAAACCCATGTGCTGCTATTTTTACCAAAGAGCTCCTCCAGCTTCCAAGAGAACCTGGACAACTTCAAGAAGGCAGCTGAAAACTTCAAGGGCAAGGTATGGCATAACCATTTCTTCTGTCTGTCTCTCACACACACACGCACAGACACACGCACCTACTCGATTTCAAGATCCTCCCCCTTGTATTCAAGTCCCTGCACTCCTCCGCACCCCGCGATCTCGCTGACCTCTCTCCTCAAACCAGTACCCGTTGCCTTCGTTCCTCCGAGTCTGGCCTCCTCCTCATCCCGAGTGCTCCGCTCTACCCTCAGTGGCCGTGCTTTCAGCCACTATGCCCCAAGGCTCTGGAACTGCCTTCCTCACTCGCTTCGTCTCGCCCACTCCCTTCCCATTTTCAGATCTCTGCTGAAGACCTTTCTTTTCGACCACGCCTTTGGTCACCTTCCTCCCCCTCCCCCTGGCTCGGTCCCGGGATCCGTCACTGTAAAGCGCTCTGAGACGTCTTCCAGCATGGAGGGCACTATATAAATCCAAGTTGTTGTTATACGCTCACATACTCTCACTCTGAATTCCTCTTGAGTGAGCGGCTGAGAGCATAGTTCTAGAAGTTGGAGTTCTTGCACATCCGCTTTCTCTCTTTGGGAAGTCTAAAGATGACAACAGCAAAATTTGTATAGCACCTTTCAAGGAGGACATCCGAAGGCGCAGGACAGTCAGGGATTTGGACGCAAGCCGGAGATTGCTCAACGTGTACTCAGAAGCCTCCTTTGTTCCTTTTTGTTTGAATCTTTTGAATATCCCAGTTCTACTCAAAATAACTTCTTCTTCTTCAAACCTCTCTTGGCCATCACAGATCCTGTTCATCTTCATCGACAGCGAAGTTGATGACAACCAGCGAGTTCTGGAGTTCTTTGGCTTGAAGAAGGAGGAGTGCCCCTCCATCAGGCTCATCACCCTTGAGGAGGAGATGACCAAGTACAAGCCCCAATCTGAGGAGATCTCCGTTGAGAATATCAAGGGTTTCTGCGATAAATTCCTGGATGGGCAACTGAAGGTGAGGTAGACTCGCCCCCGAGCGAGGGATTTACTGTTTGTGGAATGTGTTGGGTCTTTATTTAGCTGTTAGTCAATTGGCGGATCGCTTTTCCGGGGTAATAATTCCTTCAAAAAATAAATTAAAAATTATAATAATTTGGTCACTTACTGGACTGTTGGATACTGCTGTGCGCAGTCTCAGTGGCTGTCTCATTTCGCCCACAAAACATACAATTAATTCACTTTACAGTATATTCTGTGAAGCGCTTTAAGACGTCTCAAAGACGTGATAAGGCGCTATATCAAATGCAAAGATTATTATTTATTTGGGTGTGAATTTCCATTTCTTGTGCTAACTCCTGACATTCAACTCACTCCACAATATCAGCCTCACCTGATGAGCCAAGACATTCCTGAGGACTGGGACAAGACCGCTGTCAAGGTTCTGGTGGGGAAAAACTTTGAAGAGGTGGCCTTCGACGAAACAAAAGATGTTTTCATTGAATTCTGTAAGTACAAAGGCTTAGTAGTTGAGGCAGAATCCATGATGGCTTTTTAATAGGGAATTTGACAAATGTTTGAAAAAAAATTAATAGGACAAGGTAGAGGAATAGGGCTGTTTGGGCCGGGACAGGCATGATCAACTGAATGGCTTCCTTCTGTGCTGTAAAATTCTATGATTCTTAAGTGTCTACTACTCGCTACTCAATGTTTAATCCTATCAGGCTGTTTGCCTCAGTGTCCAGTACCCTGTTGATTGATATTTCCAAGATAGTTTCTGCTGTGACTCAACTGACTAGACTTTGATTGTGTATGTGATGTCTGCCTGCCTGACATGGTCATTTAAAGTGCTGTGGGGATAAGTTGCAGTTAAAAGGAGAGCTCATAGCAATTATTCTGTAGTTCAAATCGCCAATATTTATTTGAAGTGGATGTAGGCTATGCTCGAGCCTTGGTGCACGTGAGCTGATGTGATGTCCAGCTAATCCCCTGAACTCTTATCTACACAGATGCCCCATGGTGTGGACACTGCAAACAACTGGCTCCTATCTGGGAATCCCTAGGAGAAAAATACAAGGAAAATACCAATATAGTCATTGCCAAGATGGATTCCACTGTCAACGAGATTGAATCTGTAAAGATCCACAGTTTCCCCACACTAAAGTTCTTCCCTGCTGGCACTGATAGGAAGGTGAGACATTGGCCACATGGCTTGGAATCCTGAACTCCCTGCCACAGGGCAGGCGAGATTCCCGGTAATGCGGTCACCATCGGGCACGGTCTGGTGGGTCTGACTTGACTTGGCCAAGGACTGTGACCAATTTGTTTTGATGTGAAAAGATGTCGTTACTGCACACGTTTGCTAAGTTACGTGCCTCTTTGCAGATCGTAGACTACAGCGGTGAGAGGACGTTGGAAGGATTCAGCAAATTTCTAGATAGTGGAGGTGCTGACGGAGGTGCTGATGAGGTAGGTACAGCCCAGGCCAGGTGCTGGCAGGTGTGGAAGGGTCAAAACATGAAAGGTTTGACTGAGATGCCGCAGCTAATTTGAAGGGAATTGAATCCAGAAGTGTTGTGCACATGTGTGTGTGTATAGCTGGTCTTGGGATCAGTTCATTGGCTGATCTCTTAATTGCCTGCCTATATCTCTCCCTTTTCTCTTCTCCTCGCCCTTCCCTTTCCCCCCAGGGGGCTGGTTGGGACAGTCAATTGTCAGATTTGGTTCAGTGATTCGAACACTTTAATTAACACTGTCTTGTTCTCTTTTAATTTGTATTGACCAGTCAGTCCGAGTTAGAGGGAAATTGACCTGCGGATTGTGTATGGAGTAGACCAGCATGTTGAGAGTGTAATTTGTTTGCGGTCTAAAGATAACCCAACCAAGTGTTTGTCTTGGGCTATTTTAAGTGCGTGATTGTCCCAAAATACTTTTCCCACCCTGTAATCCCACTGACCTGCGGTAACATGTTGTAAGATAGCCTTGCTGGTAAAATCCTGGATGGAGGGAGAGGCATTAAAAGGCCCTTTAGCTGAGCAGCAGTGGTGTGTGTCACTGTGGTCACACATCCCTCTTGTTTCCCCTCGGTGCAGGACCTTGAAGATCTTGAAGCAGATGAGGCAGAGGATTTGGAGCCTGAAGATGAAGAGGAGAAACATGTTCATTTGCCAGATGAATTATAAAAGGAAGAAGAAAAAAGCATCCAAAAAACACTTTTTTTGTATGGTTTCAAACAAAATAATGCAGTAAAATGAAATATTTAACATGCTGAGTCTGAGTAAATAAAGACAGGGAGTTCCCAACAGATCCTCAATGTTCACAGTAATCATTTTGCTGTTAATTTATTTGGGATCATCTTTAATTGTTTAAAATCACAAAACCGTTATCTACATTTGGAATTTTTTTTGTTACTGATTCGTGCGATGTACTTTTGTACAGGTTTTTTTTTAACTTGTTTGTACTGTTTAACATTACGTATTTGCCTGGTAATGGAAGTTTGTCTAGCACGTCACCAGTTCTGTGCCTAAAGGGCACTGAGTGCTAAACTAGCAGCTATTTCTTGAGGGGGGGGAAGAGAGAGTGAGAAAGTACCTAAAGCCATTGAATCCTTCAGCCTCAGCATTGGCTGTAAGGGATTGCTAGTTTTTGCATCTTAAGAACTTTTCTGTTTTTGAGATCGATTCTTATTTCCTACTTTGAATCGGGTCCTGGGGTGGTAGATAAATTATTTTTTTTGAGGGGGTGGGTGGGAGGGGCAAGGGAGGTTGGTTGGGGTGGGTGGCAGTAGGGTACCCTGCAGCAGATGAAGAGTCTGGGGGCGAGGAGGCTTCATCAAGTGAACTGTGCAATTCTTTGAGCATTCCAACCTGTTAAAACATTTTGATGGCCAGGATTAATTAAAAAGAAATTAAACTTTCTTCGGTGTGAATTTTTGCTTATATTTTGCTCTGGTGAGGGTGGGAGAAATGAGGGTTGGGGTTACACATAAAACACATTGGTTTTGCTTTCAGAAGATGCTAGGCTAATGAGTTGAGATCTTGAGGGGGAGAGCAGACTCTCCACTTTGGTGCCCGAACCGATCAATGTTTGTGCTGTGTGGCTGCTACCTGACATGTCGCTGTGGGCTGTGCAGTGTGAGCTTTTACTGGCTCAGTTTTGAGAGTAATGTGGGCTTTGCCACTCACCTCCCACCTGGTGATTTGTCAGATGCACTTCACTGCTGTCACCTGGCTCCTGTGACTGGCAATAAATGTCGACCTTTATGGATCCCTCCTTATTTCTCGGGATGAATGAAATACGACTTTACTGGCCCCTAACTCGTCTGTGCTCGTCAGTGGCAGCTACAGTTAACAGAAGCGCTTGTCTGCTCAACAATGCCAGGAATCTCCAAATTCTCTCTAACCCACCACCAAATAAATGGAGAAAGGTTGGTGCTGACCCAAGCTAGGGGACCCTGGAATTATCATGTCACTTTAGGTTGTGTCTGGTGTCTCGCTGAGACTGAGGTGTGACAACAACGACTGCATCTGGGTTGGAGGCTGTCGCTTCTACTCTTGTCTGATATACAAACTGGATTAGCCATTCAGCCCCTCAAGCCTATTCCGCCATTTCACAAGATTAAGACTGGTCGGTACCTCAACTCTGTCTTTGCTCCATATCCCTTGATACCCAACGAAAATCTTATCAACTTTAGTCATGAAAATTTCTATTGATCCAGCGTCCACAGCCTTTTTGGGGAGAGAGTGAGAGTTCCAGATTCCCACTAGCCTTTGTGTGTGTGTGTGTGTGTGAAACAGCGCTTCCTGATTTTGCTCTTAAATGGCCTCGCTCTAACTAAGATTATGATGTGCAGGTTCTTGACTCACTTTGGTCACAGCCCCAAACCTTGGGAAACCTGACACTTGGCTAATTCAGACATTTACTTTGAGCCAATCCGCCAATCCCCTAAAGTACACTCGAATCCAAAACAGTCACGTGCAGACTGGGGACTCTGAAAAGCAGATGGCTGAAATTGAACGTGTTGGACGTGTGTGTGCGTGTTGATGTGAGTGTGTATTCAGTACAGCTAGAGCTTTTCAGCATTCCCTTCCCCAAGTCCCAGGCTAAGGTCTCGACTAACTCACCACAGACTGGGAAGAATCTATCTTGTGATCTGAACTGGAGCCTTTTCCCCTCGTATCCCTCTGACTAAAATGACCTAAAGTCAGATTATAAAACTGAAATGAACAAAAGTCTTGAGTTGAGAGAGTTCTGGATTGAGGGGGGGAGGGATAGGAGTCAGACACATTCAGGTACATGTTGGGTTTGCAGATGGCAAATCCTATTACTAATTCTGTGCGCCCCCCCCCCCCCCCCCCCATCCCCCATGAAGGCCTCAATACCCTGTTTAACTACGACATTTATTAAATCCAATTATTTTAAGTGGGGGAGAATCCTAGCCCGCTCTCCCTTCACAGCCCATCAATACAATGTTTTTACATAAGGTTTTGCCCACAAAATATACAGTCAATTCACTTTACAGTATATTCTGTGAAGCAGCTTTGAGACACCTTAAGGTCATGATGAGACGCTATATCAAATGCGAGGATTATTATTATTATCGGTCGTCAGTTTCATACACAAACTCGCTGTGTTTTACAATGTGTTTGGTGTGATAACTGTCACATACCATTGTGAGACACCACCAATGTCATCCCTGTAACATTGCCAAAATGTACACCTGGTGTGGATGTGCGTGTGTGTGTGGGGTGGGGGTGAACTCGATGAGTTATGAACATATTTACAGTTTGGTGCAATGTTATTCTAGAACCTTTGGTACTTTACAGATGGCGCATCCTGTGATGTGTACTTGATTTCGAAACCACTTGGGTTACTGTGATCTAATCCTGTACCATTGGGTAATCTGTTACCTGGAGACCGGGTAAACACACGTGTGTGTGTGTCTGTGTGGATGGGATGGGGGAGAGCTTTTTTGGGAGGGAGGAGGGTTGTGGTGTTAAGGTCATCTATTTGTGTACAAATACCCAGACATTACATTTGACAGCGAATCTGTGGGAAGCACTTTGGATATTTTGGGACGTTATATCAAATGCAAGGATTCTTATATTATTCATTCTGCTGCTTGGGCATGTGAGGGTGTGTGTGACATTTTCTGCATTCCCTCTGAATGATGGTGGTGTGCGTACGTGGAGGACCTCACATGTTTCTCTGTTGAGGTTGCACATGGTTTAGATAACTGAATCGCAGCTCGATTTCAGATCGGTTCCTGGGACCCATTCAAACCCTTTAAAATAGCACCGCACTCAGCGAGGGCAAGAGGGACATCCCAAGCCAAAAACAGAGGAACGCGCTGTGAAGCAATATACATGTGACAGCAGGAGGAGGGACAGGTGAGAGAAAACCGCTTTAAACCGCCCCCCCCCCCCCCCCCCACCTCCCCTGTTAGTGATCTATAACCTTCAAAAATAGATCCCATCACTTAAATAGCAAAGAATCGGTCCATCCCAAACAGTCTGGGAGAAAGGGCGTGAGAGGAGCCAGAGAAAGAGAGAGAGAGTGTCGGACAAGAAGGAATCAACACTGGTCAATTTTAACATTTGTTTTTTTTCCTTTCCCCCTCTCCATTCCCGAGAACGTTTTCTCCCCAGCCAGCACTGAGAATGAAATTCCATCATTCCACCCGCAACACGTATAGTTTGACTCCAGTCAGTTTGAAGCCCACTCGTACGGTGCGCTTTCCCAATGACATCGTCTTCCAGGACCACATCCGTGAGGGAGACCTTCAACAGATCGGGCGATTTATCCGAGCAAGTAAAGTGCAGCTGGACACCATCTATCTGTCTGGTCAGTCTCTCGCCCTTTTTTAAATTGTTTTCTTTTTAATTTTTTTTATATAGTAAATAATATTAATCCTTGCATCTGTCACAGCGCCTTGTCACGTCGTTGAGACGTCTCAAAGCGCTTCACAGAATGTAAAGTGGAGTGACTGTATTTTGTGGGCGAAACTTGGCAGCCAATTGCACACAGCAGTGTCCCACAAATAGTTGTGGATTGAGTGACCTAATTAGTATTTTGTTGTTGTGGATATTTTTAAGGGATTATTTGCGCTATTCCTCAGAAAAAATTATCTTCAAACATTTGAAGACTGGATTTTTTTTGGGGGGTGGGGGGAACAGGAGGGGTTGGGACGTCAACATTTCACGATAATCGATTTAAAAGTGTACCATTCCACCCACAAAATACACAATCAATCCACTTTACAGAATACCCTGTGAAGCGGTTTGAGACATCTCAACAACGTGATAAGACGCCAATGGAACGATTATTGTTATTATTTGATCGTAATTCAGATCCAAAAAGTTTGACTTTCTTTTGCAATAATGCTGAATGTTGTCTTCTTTTTTAATAAATGCATTTGCATTGACGTGTGTTGGTGTTTGCGTTGGCTTTCTATCTGATGTCTGTGAGGTGTTGTGTTACAGGGATGGCTGCGCTGCATGAAGCAGTTCTCTCCGGGAATCTGGAGTGTGTGAAGCTGCTGATCAAATACGGAGCTGATGTGGAGCAGAGAGATGAGAACGGCTGGTCAGCCCTGCACATGGCCTGCAGCGATGGCCACACGGAAATCGCCAGGTAGGACAACTAACACGCACGATGGGCTAACTGGGGTTTGAAGCGGATTTTATTTTAATACAAAATAATGATTGACCTGGTGCTTTGTCACCTCCTGGAACTGCCTCAAAGCACCTCACAGGATTTACTGTAAAGTGTAGTGACTACGTGTTAGGATTAAGGCACATGGGGGCGGGGAGGGGGAATAAAGATACCAGGAAGGACTTTACTTGATGGGGTGAAGGGGAGATGGAAGGATGGGTACCCTGGAAGGACGAGAGCAAATGTACGACTGATCTTGCGAAGCGCTTTTGTATAAACATTGTACGGGTTTACCTGACATGGTGTTTGGAACCTGCAGATACCTGTTGTCACTGGGAGCAGACACTGAGGCAGCCAATGACGATGGGGAGGTGCCCTCGGACATGATCGACCCCGAACACGAGGAGCTGCTCCAGCTGTTCACGGGCAAAGGGGCCGACTGAGAGCCATTGCCAGAGCCGCAGTTCCTTCACTGAGGCCCATTGTACTGCGGTTTGTGCCTAAACTGCATCAAGTCTTCAATTCAGAACATTGAGAGGGAGGGGAGGGAGGGGGATTCTTACGGCAGAAAACGCTTTATCAGGGATACCTGCTGCTCGACTGAGAGTATTGGAGAGAGACGAGCAAGTAAGGACTGAAACGCGCTCTCTGTGCTTCAGTTTACCTGAGATTACGAGGACGGTAGAAGGCGAACTAGATGGACCTTGGTCTTTCGTAGTCTCGCATTTCCTATGTTCCTATGACTGTACATGTGCTCACGATACAACTTGTGAAATAACTGATTCTTGGGACAAGCTGCAGCGATCGATCGCACATGGTAAGGCACGATTCTCTCCACAGCACGAACTCTGTGAGGCAAAGTCTTAACGTGTCACGGTTTGTATTTGTAGCGTATCGTATTGGACATATCTTCATTTTATGCGAGTATTAGAGTTTGGTTTCCCCTCCCTCTGCTTTATGCGCACGTCCTTGAGAATGTCAGTTGCCAGAAATTATCAATCAGTAAAAAAAAAACTGCACTTTGTCTTCCCTTCAAAAGTACGGGATCTCACAGTCTTACGGACGGCTGGAAATGTAAATGTGATGCGAAGAGTGACACATTGGATTTGTCTTTGTTTGGAATCAGTCTGGACCATGTTTTATATTAGTGAGAATAAAGATTTATGTTTTGCTACAAATACGGCTGTTTTATTTTCTCCCTTTAAAAAAATATGCTCCTTGCTTCATTTCTCTGTCACCTCCGTAACCTCTCAGATCAGATCAGATCAGATCACATCAGAGTATCCTCTCCAACCTCCTCGACCCCAGGGAGTAAAATCCTCATTTACCCAGCCTCACGACACAGTTTAATTCCATCAGCTCACATATAATTCTTTGGTCTAGGGTTACATTGCTGTGTGCAAACTGGCTGCAAAGATGATTATTATTATGACGACGATGAATCCTCATTTTGCACAAGCAGTAATAATAATATAATATTAATAATCCTCACCTTTCACAAATAGCGCCTATTGAACCAAAATGTCTCGATGTTTTTAACTACTATTATTTTTGAAATAATAATAATAATCCTCGCATTTGATACAGCGCCTTATCACGTCGTCGAGACGCCTCAAACGAGCTTCACAGAATGTACTGCAAAGTGATTTGACTGTGCATTTTGTGGGCGAAACGTGGCAGCCAATCGCGCACGATGCCCGGGGTAAAAGGACAGCCGGAAGAAATGTTGGTCACAAAGTTAAACTCGATTTGTTTTGTTTAAGGCATCGCGTTAATTTTTTTCCTCCGCATAATGTCTTGGAATATTAGTGCGGCATCGGCCTCTGCTGGATTCCCAGCACAGCACACCCAGCACCAACCTGCGACAGATTGGGATAAGGGAAGACACTTGGATTCGCCTGAACTCGTCAGTTCTTACCGGGGTGGTTCTGGGGGGGGGGTTGGTTCTGGTGCTGTTTGCAGTGGGATTTACAGACCGGTGGAAAATGTCACGGGTCTCTCAAAACGGAATTGGGAAACCATTTGGAACAAAGAAATCGCCTGAGGGGTTAGCGGGAATCCGTGCGGGATTATAGTTTTACACTGGGCTGAGACGCTTTCATTCCGATCTTATCTTCCTGAGGCGTTGTTGTTGTTGTTCCTTTGAGCTAAGTCACTGTTCGCGAACTTGCGATTCGACGCGTTCGGAATTCATTCCGGAATAACAGCTCTCAAGGAATCTTACAGCGTAGGAGGAGGCCATTCGGTCCATCGTGCCTGGTGTCGGCTCTTTAAAGGAAGCCATTCAACTGGTTCCACTCCCCCGCTCTTACCCCATCAGCCCCGCAAACTTTTCCTTTTCAAGTACCTGTATTTATCCAATTCCCGTTCGAAATCCACTCTCGAAACAGCCTCCACCACTTTTTCAGGCTGTGCGCTCGGGATCGCCCTCGTTTAAGGAGTTCGACGGATGTGAAAGTGATTCTAATCAATGTCCGTCCACTGTAGGGTTTAACGAGAGAATCAAAGGCAGTGACAGGTCGGAAGCCCTCACAGGAGGGGCTGCCGGTGGGGAGCCAGCAACCAGCAGAGCGATCTGAGATCCCTGCTTTATCAGGAGGCATTTTAACTGGTTTAACAATAACGATAATAATAATAATAATAATGATAATAATCCTTGCGTTTGATCCAGCACCTTATCACATCGTCGAGGCGTCTCAAAGCACTTGAGGACGTTACTGCGAAGTACCGCGACTGTGCACTGTGCGAGCGCTCGGCAACGTCCCACACACAGCCATGACTTGGTTCATGTGGGGGATTGTCGGCCAGGACACCTGGGGGGTGGGGGGCGGTGGGGGTGGGGGGGGGGGGGGGGGGGGGTGCGGAGAGAGAGAGAAAGAAACTCCCTTCTCTCTTTTCAATCAGTGCCGTTGCATCCTTAACATCCGCCCGAACAGGCAGTCTGGACCTCGGGATTCACGACCCCCCCAGGGCTGGGCTGGAGAGACCGCCTCGACTGGACGTGAGGGTCATGTCCCGACATGGGGGGGGGGGGGGGGGCGGCGGTGGTGGTGGTGGGGGGCTTGAACCCACAACCGTCTGACTCCGAGGTGAGGGTTCAACCCCCCGACACACACGGGATACAAATCTGGACAAATATGTTCAGGGAGAACTGAGGTCGCACAGTCTCTCAGGGAGAGGGTCGTTTCTTTACGCGGAACGGAGGTTAACGTCCGGGGTGGGGGTTGGGTGGGGGTTGGGTGGGGGGTTCCTGTACCCGGGGGGGTGGGGGAGGGTGTCCCCAGGGGGGGTGGGGGAATGTGTGTGGGGGTGTCCCCAGGGGGGTGGGGGGAGGGGGGTGGGGGGGGGGGGGGGGGGGCGGGTGTCCCCAGGTGGGTGGGGGGAGGGGTGATTGGTGGGTGTCCCGAGAGGGGGTGGGGGGAGTGTGTGTGTGTGTGGGTGTGTGGGGGGTGTCCCCGGGGGTGTGGGGGGAGTGTGTGTGTGTGTGGGGGGGGGTGTCCCCGGGGGTGGGGGGAGGGGGTGGGGTGTGTGGGTGTGTGGTGTGTGTGGGGGGGTGTCCCCGGGGGGGGGGGGGGGTGGGGGAAGGGGGGTTGGGGGGTGTGTGTGTGGGGGTGTCCCCGGGGGGGGAGGGGGTGGGGGGGGGTGTCCCCGGGTGGGGGGGGGAGGGGGTGGGGGTGTGTGGGGGGGTGTCCCCGGGGGGAGGGGGGGTGTGTCACGCCCCGTGTCCGGGCCGCGGGCTCTCAGGCGGAGGCTGAGCGCTGAGGAGGCGGCGGGAGGCCGGGCCCGAGGCCGAGGCCTGAGTGAGGGAGAGGCCGCGACAGACAGCGAGAGACACGGGGCCGCCATGAGCAGGTACCGGGGCCCCGGGGCGGGCACAGGCCGAGGCCTTCCCCTGGGGTGGGGGTGGGGGGAGGCTGTGTGTGGTGCCCCTGGGGGTGGGGGTGGGGGGGAGGCTGTGTGGGTGCCCCTGGGGGTGGGGTGGGGGTGGGGGAGGCTGTGTGGGTGCCCTGGGGGTGGGGGGGGGGAGGCTGTGTGGGTGCCCCTGGGGGGTGGGGGTGGGGGGAGGCTGTGTGGGTGCCCTGGGGGGTGGGGGGAGGCTGTGTGGGTGCCCCTGGGGGTGGGGGTGGGGGGAGGCTGTGTGGGTGCCCCTGGGGGTGGGGGTGGGGTGGGGGGAGGCTGTGTGGGTGCCCCTGGGGGTGGGGTGGGGGTGGGGGGAGGCTGTGTGGGTGCCCCTGGGGGGTGGGGGTGGGGGAGGCTGTGTGGGTGCCCTGGGGGGGGGTGGGGGGGGCTGTGTGGGTGCCCCTGGGGTGGGGGTGGGGGGAGGCTGTGTGGGTGCCCCTGGGGGTGGGGTGGGGGGAGGCTGTGTGGGTGCCCCTGGGGGTGGGGGTGGGGGGAGGCTGTGTGGGTGCCCCTGGGGGTGGGGGTGGGGGGAGGCTGTGTGGGTGCCCTGGGGGTGGGGGTGGGGGGGGGAGGCTGTGTGGGTGCCCCTGGGGGTGGGGGGGGGAGGCTGTGTGGGTGCCCCTGGGGGTGGGGGTGGGGGGAGGCTGTGTGGGTGCCCCTGGGGGTGGGGGTGGGGGGGAGGCTGTGTGGGTGCCCCTGGGGGTGGGGGTGGGGGGAGGCTGTGTGGGTGCCCTGGGGGTGGGGGTGGGGGGAGGCTGTGTGGGTGCCCTGGGGGTGGGGGTGGGGGGGAGGCTGTGTGGGTGCCCCTGGGGGGTGGGGGGTGGGGGGTGGGGGGGAGGCTGTGTGGGTGCCCCTGGGGGTGGGGGTGGGGGAGGCTGTGTGGGTGCCCTGGGGGTGGGGGTGGGGTGGGGGGAGGCTGTGTGGGTGCCCCTGGGGGTGGGGGTGGGGGGGAGGCTGTGTGGGTGCCCCTGGGGGTGGGGTGGGGGTGGGGGAGGCTGTGTGGGTGCCCCTGGGGGTGGGGGTGGGGGGAGGCTGTGTGGGTGCCCCTGGGGGTGGGGGTGGGGGGAGGCTGTGTGGGTGCCCCTGGGGTGGGGGTGGGGGGGAGGCTGTGTGGGTGCCCCTGGGGTGGGGGTGGGGTGGGGGGAGGCTGTGTGGGTGCCCCTGGGGGTGGGGTGGGGGAGGCTGTGTGGGTGCCCCTGGGGGTGGGGGTGGGGGGAGGCTGTGTGGTGCCCCTGGGGGGTGGGGGTGGGGGGGAGGCTGTGTGGGTGCCCCTGGGGGTGGGGGTGGGGGTGGGGGGGAGGCTGTGTGGGTGCCCCTGGGGGTGGGGGGGGGGGGGGGTGGGGGGGGGGGGGGGGGGAGGCTGTGTGGGTGCCCCTGGGGGTGGGGGTGGGGGGAGGCTGTGTGGGTGCCCCTGGGGGTGGGGCTCAGTTTGGGAGTCGGATTGTGTCGGTCATTTGGCTCCGAAACCCCTTATTCCTGTGACACCCACCAACTCCCCTTCGCGCCGAGCGATCGGTCAGTCGAGTGACCGATCGGCCGCGCTTTCCCGTGACGTCGCGGCAAAGAGCTCCGGGTACCCAACCCCCGGGCGAAGGGCGCGGTCGGTGTCAGTGCGTTGTTATGACTAACGATAACAACAGTAACAGCAATAACAACAACAACAACAATAATAATAATAATAATAATAATAATCCTCGCATGTGACGCAGCGCCTCATCGCGTCTTCGAGACGGCGCAAAGCGCTTCGCGGAACGTACCGCCGAGCGAACCGACGTCGAGAGGGCTCTGGGAGGCGATCCCCCCCCCCGCGCCCGCCCCCCCCCTCGCGAACGGCACTCGTGTAAGCGGTTGTAATCTTGGGCGTGGAGTTTGCTGCCTGACCCGTGGCTCCCGGTCTCAGTCTCTCTCTCTCTCTCTCTCTCTGTGTGTGCGTGTGCGTGTGCGTGCATGTGCGTGTGCTCGACCCTCCCGCAGCTCCCCCGCACCCCGCGTCGTCTACAACGGCAAACGGAACAACGCTCCTCGCTCGCCCACCAACGCCGCCCCCCAGGAGCTCTACACGCCGGCTCACGAGGAGAACGTTCGGTTCATACACGACGGTGAGAGCGCGCGCTGAGCGACAGCGCCTGCGCTGGGGAGTGTGGGGAGGGGGCGGGGGGGGGGGGCCGTGGGGGCGAGCTCGGGCGTGTGTGGGAGGGTGCGTATTGCGGGGAAGGGGTGTGTTGTGTGTTTTGTGCGCATGTGGGTGGGCGCGTGTGCGTGCGCGTGCGTGCGTGTGCGTGCGACTGACAGGCTCTGGTTCACAGCCTGGCAGTACGTGGAGAGAGAGCTGCGGAGCCAGATGTCAGGGAGTGAGCGAGGACCAGTGCAGTACGTGGAGAAGAATCCCAACCCCAACCTGAGCAGTGAGTAACACGACTGTACAAGGCAAAACACGGCACGCGCTGCGGTTACACAGAGCAAGTCTCTTCCCCCCCCCAAACCCACCCCCTCTCCGCCCCCCCAGATAAAAATAATAACCTTTGCGGTTGATATCCCGCCTTGTGTCGTCGAGATGTCTCAAAGCGCTTCGCAGAATATACTATAAAGTGGAGTGGCTGTGTATTTTATGGGACAAACACGGCAGCCGGTTGCACGCAGCAGTGGTCCCACAAACAGTGGTGGATTGAGTGACTCATTTTTTCCCCCCCATCAGCGGGACGTAAATCAATCGATCCCTATCTCTCTCTCTCTCAGATTTCACACCGATCGACCTGAACGACTGGAAGAGGAGGAGTATGTCAGACGTTAAGAAGTCCTAAAGGAGCGTGTTTTTTTATTTGTTTGTCGGTTTGGGGCTGATCGGAGCGGATTGTTTCTCTTCTCCCTCCACCCCCCCCCCCTTCCGGTCGCCCGCTTGGAACTTGTTTTCTTTGACGAGTTGCTGGGGTGTGGGGGGGTGGGGGTGCGGGTGCGGAGAAGGTGGGGGCTGTTGCTCATTTACTCTAACAGCCCTGGGAGTCTGTGTTGTGAGTGTCCGGTCCGGACTGATCGCTAACTCTCTCCTTAGATGTTTTTGTTTGTGGGGTTTGATCTCTCACCTGTGACCTCAACTCCACCAGCACCCGAGCCGCAAACCCCACTCCGCCCCCCCTCCCACCCCCTCTCTCTCCCGGGGTTTACCCCACTCGCAAACCTCAGCATTTGCACTCTGTCCTGGGGCCACAAACAGGAGTTTTGAGTTTGTATCTTAAATAAGTCTTAAATTTCTCTTTCTCTCTGTGTGTATGAGTTGGGGTAGTGGGGGAACAGAGAGGTAATGATTGGCTCCAGCATCTCCCTGAAGGGGTCTTAAGGCTGCTGTGGCCGCTGTACACACTCTGCGTGTGTCTGTCTCTCTCACCCCCCCCCCCCCCCAGCTTGTCTGTCCCCACTCTGTCTCCCCACACTCTTTTTCTATCTTCTCTCTCTCAGTCTCCCCCCTTCCTCTCACTCCCCCCCCCCCCCCATCTCCTCACTCCCTCTCTCTCTCACTCAGTCCCTCTCAATCTTTCACTCCTCTCCTTTTGCTCCCTCTCGCTTTCTTTCACGCGCGCTCTCTTTCTCTCTCTCGCTCCCTTTCTTTCTCCTGCTATCCTGTCGCCGCCGCATTTCTCTTGTTACGTTAGCTCGAAGCTCGGCCACTGAGCCAGGAGCCTCGCTCATTCCTTTACCAGCGTCCTCTGCTGCCCTCAGGGTACGAAAGGGTTAAAGAGCGCACTCAGCCTCCGCACGGGAAGCCAAATGTCACCGGCTTTTAGCCTGGAGGGTAACGGGTCCACCCGGCCTCGCTGTGCCCTGGGCTGTGCCCTCGCCACACGATCGGTGTCGGCGGGGTCCGCCGCCGGTGTCAGAGCTGTGTAACTCGCTGAACTTTCCCCGTTTCAGAAGCGCTGTAAATAAAACTTGACTTTGTTAATGAGCCTGACTTCGTCCGGCGTCCCCTGGGAGGCGGTGGCGGGGGTGAGGGTGGGGGAGGAAGAGGATTGGGGTGGGGGGCGGTGTGGGGGTCGGGGGTACTGAAATTCAGCGGAGTGAACGGCGGCGATACCCCCACGTCACCCCCAGGTGGCAGCGACTGAGCATCAAGAGAATGAGGGTGAACGGCGGAGGCTGCGAACACACAGGTCCCGGTCGGGGTGTCGTGTGTCCGAACCGGGAAAGGTTCGCCTCTCGCGTCCCGTTCGTCTCTCGCGCTCTCCCCGAGGGGCGCCGGGCGCAAGGTTGAAGGAAGCCGTTTGACCTCAGCGTTCCAGACTACACACCCCGCCGGCGGGTGCGTGTGGGGCAGAGGGGCACAGACGAGGAGGAAATTGTTCGCAAAATAATCGGGGTCGGGTGGGATTCTTCCCTCGGAGCGTTCGTTGGAGTTATAATAGTAATATTTGATGCAGCGCCTTATCACGTCATTGAGACGTCTCGAACGCTTCACAGAATGTGCTGTAAAATGGATTGACTGCGTCATTTTGATGGCGAAAAAATTGCCCCCAACAGTGTCCCACAAACAGTCGTGGATTGAGTGACTGATTTTTTTTTTGAGGGATTGTTACCCCCAGGAAAAGGATCCGCCAAGCGACTGGAAAAAAAATTCCTACTTACTGCTCGGTAAACAGGAGTGTGGAGTAAGGAAACTTGCCTGCAAACGGCACCCCTCCCCGCCCGTGAATTCACCCCTCTCCGCCTTGTGTATCAAACCCGGGTCCTCTCGCTTAGATCCGCTAATGATAAAGACAAGCGATGCAGCACAGACGGCGCTCCTCGTGTGCTGACAGTGCGTCTTATTTGTTATCAAGCTGTTGAATTCCCCCCTGTGTATACGTGCGTTTGCACATGCATAACAGGCTGGAGAAGAAAACCATTGCCTTAGACTTTCATCAAAGTGACCAGGAGACCATGTGGAGGTTGTCACATGTTTGTTCTGGTGTGTGCGTGTGTGGGGGAGGTGGGGGGGTGGATGCAAGGGTTCTGTTTCTTGGACATTATATTGTTTAAAGTACTTCCCCCGACCTCCCACGCTGCCGTCCAGGCTATGTGCAGACTGACACTCCCAACAAATTTCCTCTGAACTGGCCAGTGTTTGAACTCGGCCTAATTACAAACGATCTTGAGCTCTTTCTCTCCGTCTCTCTCTCTCTCTCTCTCTCTCTCGTGGTGTGCTTTTCCAGTCTGCGTCAATTTGGAGCTAAAAAAAATTTTCCCCCCTCTTCCCAAATTAAAGTGGAGTTTTCCTCCTGGATTATCTAGGTTTCATTTAAATCTTCCCCACCCACGTCGTGGATTGAGTGGCCAAATTTTTATTGGTATTATTATTGAAGGCTCTGTCTCCCGGGGGAATTGAATTGTTTCCCGAGCTGAATGGTTTGCCGGCCTTGGCCAAATCTCCGTACATCTGAGTCATTCGGTGCCGCTTATTGTCCACTTATCTGTCACGATGGAAGAGCAAGACCGTGGCTTGGAGAGAGAGAGAGAGACGGAGAGACGCCTCCTGTGCGCTTTGTGTGGGGAAAAACACAAATCAGAAAAAATCAAAGCTTCACAAAACAAAGCCGGATTTATAGATGATAATAGCAATACGTAGACAATGTCCTTTGACCTGTTATAGCATCTTATATGTCAAAACATCTCCCAGCACCTAAGTGTCAAGGACAGTGACTGAGTATTGGTAAGAAAACCAATCTGCAAGGTCCCATGCGCAGGGAAACGACAAGGCAATATAATTGACATTTATACATCACCTTTCGTCTCGTCTCAAAGTGTTTTGTTTATGTGGAGGATTGTCAGCCAGGACATGTGGAGAGAGCTCTGTTTGAATAGTGCTGCGTGGAGTGAGGGGGGAAGGAGGGGGGGGGGGGCGATGGTGGGTCAGAAGTGCCATCCTTAAGAGGAAATGGTTAACCGAGGTTCCGTTCACTTGTTTAGATGAGTTAGCTTCAAGTGAACATGCGACGGTGCCAGTGGGTCAACTGCCCTCAGGCTCCCTCTCACACCACGCAGAACTCCCTGGTGTCTCTGTGACTCGATGCTTTGCGGAAGGTGCTGTATAAATACCTAGTGTTATCACACAGAGAGATACACAGAAGGTAGAGGACGGATTTGGGCGCTTTCGCTTACAGCTGTGAATAACCTGACACAGGTTTTGTGAACGATGGATTTAAATCCCCCTCGAACCACCACCTGCTGTGCTTTTTGCCTAAACAAATAATTATCCTCCTCAAGGATGGTGGTTGGGGAGAGGGGTGGGCGGATGGGGCCGTGAGGAGGGTAATTCAATACAAATAATAATAATTACAATCTGGTCACTCAATCCACGACTGTTTGTGGGACGCTGCTGGGCGCAATTGGCTGCTGCGTTTCACCCACAAATACACACTCGCTGCACTTTACACTTCCCTGAAGCTCTTTAAGACGTGTCAACAACATGATAAGCAGCTGTATCAAATGTTAAGGTTATTGTTATTATACAATTCTCCGGCTGAAAGAAAGTAAGGAGTGGGTGACAATGGCGAAGGGCATTTGGACAGTGTCCCAGGCTCGCTTTGTGCTGGATAATCACACTTCGTGTTCCGTGAAGGTAATTCACCCAAATGATGATTGTGATTAAAGAGAGTGCTCCGGGGGCTGATAATGGAGCCTATTAGACCCTGTAGCGGACTGAGGGGTCCCTAATGGCTTACGAGATGATTGCTGTTGCAAAGCTGCAGAGAAATCGCCTCTCATTTAATAGCCGCTACACTGGACAAAAAGCGTAAAGCTTCCTTGGGATTTAATCACCGTAATAATAATCATCCTTGCATTTGACACAGTGCCAGATATTTAATCGCTCCGGGACTCTACCCTGCGTGAAGGGCACTATATAGTTGCCAGTTGTCGTTGCCTTATCATGTCATCGAGACATCTTAAAGTGCTTCGCAGGATATACTGTAAAGTGGAGTGACACCGAGAGAGAGAAAAACTCTTCTTTTTTAGAATAGGGTCGCAGGATCCTTAATGTCTACCCGAACAGGTAGAAGGGATCTGGGTTTAACGTGACATCTGATGGACAGGAGCCAAATGGGGCGAAGCGAGTTCCAAGGTGATGAGGACGGGGAAGGTGCCTCTGCTCTTGGTTACTGAAGTGAGAGGCAACTGATGCCAAGGAGAGGAGATGGAGCTTTGGATCCTGACGTGTGGTTATCTCTCGGGTTGGGTGACAGCTCACAGATGCCGGTAATTACTCAATCCATCCCGGATGCGCATTGTGCAAATAGTTTCCCTGAAGGTTGTCAGGACAATCCGTCAGGATGACACTGAGGAGAGGATTGATGGAAACTATTCTGGGAGTTTCTGCCTTGTTATCTCCTGCACTTCACACTGAGGTTGGCTGAGGCTCCAGAGCAGGGCTGGGGGTGGGGTGGGGGGTGGAACATAAGAACAGGAGGAGGGCATTCATGGCTGATAAGTACCTCAACTCCAATTACCTCAACTCCAATTAGATTGGTCGCTCACTCCATGGCTGTTCGTGGGATCTTACTGTGTGCAAACTGACTACAAAACACTCAGTCACTCCACTTTACAGTATATCCTGTGAAGTGCTTTGAGTGGATGTGTAGACATATTAGTATTGTATGTGTTGGTATGTACTGTGTGTAAATGCATGTGCGCCTTCGGCCGCCCACCTACCCTCCTGATCCCAACCCCCTGCTTGAATCCAGTGCCTTGGGACGCTGTGTAAATGTAATTTGTTGTTGTTGCTATTACCCAGGAGTGAGGGGGACGGTGGCTGCTCTGCTCTCTGCCCAGCGCTGACCCTGACCACAATCCCCATTGATGCTGTGGCTGTGGCTGCTGTGAGTGTGAGCTCTCACTCGACCTCAGC